CCAAGAGTCTCGGAGGCGAGTGTGCGCTTCACGCGGCATGGGCTTGAGGGCAGCAGGGGGCGCCGGCGGACTGCGCACCGTCACGCCTGTGTGGCCCGCGGCAGTCAGCTGCTGCACGGCATCTCGCAACACCACGTCGTGGAAGTAGAGGTAGACGACGCAGCTCGACGGGCAGCCCTCCCGGAGGCCCTTGTACAAGTGGTACGGCTCCGAGAGACCCTGCTGATTGCGGCAGCGGTACTCCGTGTCCGAGCGGACGTGCGTCAGGAGGGTGACCACGTGCTCGGGGACGCCCCGATGGCGCAGCACCTGCCACGCGGCATTCCGAGGCACCGAAGGGCATGCCTTGCGGATGTCCAGCAGCGAGAACACGAGGTGCTCCATGTCCTCTGGCGTCTTGGCCTTCGTGGCGCCCTCGACGAGAAGCCGGGCCAAGAGGATGGCGTCGCGCGTGCTCCTCCATGGGCGGAAGCCCCACTGATCAGCTCGAAACACTCCGTGTCGTTCCGCGTGCGTCATAAGTCGAATGCTGATGGTTCTGGCCACGACGCGCGAGATGATGGACAAGAGGCAGATCCCCCTATAATTGTCGAGGCGCGCCCTGTCCCCCTTCTCGAAGAGGGCGAGAACGATGGCTCGGTGGGCTTCGGGCTCCCACGCCTCGGGCTGCCTCCACGCGCGCCGAACCAGCGCGAAGAGGGCCTGCTGGAACTCAGGGGACGACAGGCGCAGCATGTTGATGGTGACCCCGTCTTCCCCCGCCGCCGACTCCCGCATCTTCCGCCAAGCCGCCTGGATCTCGGCATCGCTCGGTGTAGTAGCCAAGGAAGCCTCCGTGGGGATCGCTGGCGCCAGCAGGGGCATCCTGTTCAACACCTCGTCGGTCACCACAGACTCCTGCCCCCCAATGGCGACGAAGTGCGCGCGCAACTGCTCAGGGGCGCGGGAGATGCGGCCGTGGACGCCCACCTCGTCGAGCGTGACCCCGAGCGCACGGAGACCCTGATAGAACCGATGTAAGTCGGACACGGCCAGGCTGTGCTCGAGCTCCCGCAACTGCTTCTCCACCCATTGACGTCGCCAGCGGCGCCTCTGTGTCCGAAAGGTTTTCTTGAGCTGGCGGTGGAGAGCGCGGGCGGGGCCTTCGGCAGCGGTGCCCTGCGCCCAGCGGATGTCCTCCCAGGCCTGGCGGAGCTCCTCCTTGGCCTTCAAGATCTCAGGCCCATGGCCGCCCATGAAAGGAATCCCGCCGCCTCGGTCCTCCCGTCCGCAGACCTCCTCCGCAGCCTGTCGCGCGACAGCCGCGAGGGCTGGCCACGACGATGGGGCCTCCATCTCGGAGGCGCCAGGCGATGCAGAGACCAACTCCCGAGTGCGCTCCTGATACTGCTTGCGGCGCGCCACAGCCTCCTCCGACCGCCCTCGCAGAAGATGGGTGGAGATCTTGCGCTTGTTAGCGGAAGCCGTCTGAGCGTCCCCAGCCGAGCGGCAGCGTTCCCAGGCGTTCCCTTGACGGCCACGAGGAAGATTGAGCTTGAAAACTTTCGCAAAGTGGTCACTCATGCTCAGCGCTGCCGTCTTGAACTCCTGGATGTGCTTCACTACAAAGGGAGACGCCACGCAGGGGTCGAGCTCATACCAGCTGTAGTGCTCCCGGCCCTGGTCGTCGACGCGAGCCCTCGGCAGCATCCACGTGCCTCTGGAGCCAATCTGGTAGAACGTGTCCGCCACTCAGAGTGGGCGCGGGGACTCCTCCAACCACCGCAGGAGCTGCTTGCCAGCTGTCGTGGTAGGCGTCGTCATGCCGAATCTCCCCACCACAGTCGGGCTGCGCACAAAGTCGCCGACCGTGGCGTGCGCGATGTAGCGACCCGAGCAGCGATCCCGGCCAACATGGGAATTGAAGTCACCAAGCCACACCTGCTGTTCCGTCTCGGGAGACCCATCCAGCAATTCCGAGGCGCCATCGAAGAAGTGGAGCCGGCCCTGCCGATCACCAGTGGGGACATACGCCGAAGCAAAGCGATAACGAACTCCAGCGACAGCAAGAACGAAGCTCATGAGGCGCATGTCGTCGCTCTCTGTGGTCACCATGCCGGCCTCGCGCCACGCATGTACTGCAGCTGGAGAAAGCATAATCCCAACCCGCCCCCGGACGACGACCACGTACTCCTCCACCGCCACACTGACTCTCCTCGTATCTGGTACTCCTCCTCCTGCCTCCTCCACGGTGTGCAAATCTGTAAGGGAAAGAACATCGAGCTTGTGATGACGTGCAAACGATAAAAGAGAATAAGCTTTGTCGGCATTCGTGGTGTCCAGACGATGCCACGCCCATCCCTGAGTATTGACAGTGCCCGCCCTCAAGAAATGTGTCTTGGACAGATTCCGACGATAACAAGCATGATAAGAACGACGCACTCGCTGACGGCATCGACGTCGGCCAGGCCGAAGGTGAGACTGAGCTCCGCGGAGCAACGATTCAAAGTGCAGGCCGGGCCGCCTCTCGGGCGTCGCTCGGGCCTGCCCTCCAGGGTCCTCGTGAAGAAGGCGGCGATTGCTCGAGGAGCACAATCCCGCCAAACGCACCTCCCCAGGCTGGAGAGGCGCCATGGTATTGCTAGATGGCATTAGTCAGTCCCGCCGGCTCCAGGCCGGGATGTACACCATCGAATGGGGAACCGGAACTGCTTCCCTTCCACACCGTACCCATCCAAGCCGAAGAATCCAACCTGCCGACTCCTCGGCCAGACCTTTGTCCCGCTGGGAGCCGCTGGGTCCCGAGCGCGCCTGGAGGGCCCAAGACGGCTCCTTATGGCTTCCAGAGGGCCCCAAGTTGGGCCAAGAGAGCTACAAGACGCCCACGATGGCCCCAAGACGGTCCCAGAGGCTCCTTTTTCGCCCCAAGACACCACAAGAGTCCTCCCAAGGGAGCCCCAAGAAGCCAAAATTGCCAAATTACGTTTGTAAAACGCACATTTTCAGCATCCAAAACTTCTCGCCTGCCCTACGCTCCAAGACGGCCCACGACGCCCCCCGAGATCGCCCTAAGACGGCCCAAGAGGCAGTGAAGAGGCCCCCACGACGGCCTAAGAGGACCTCAAGATGGCCCAAGTGGCGCCCAAGACGGCCCAGGCGGGCACAGAATGGCACCCGAGAGACACCAAGGACCCCTACAGAGGCCCCCAACAGGCCCCAGCTCCCCAAGAGGCCCCAAAAAGGCCCCAAGTGACGCCAAAAGAGCCCCCAAGAGGGATCAAAACTGCTTCCGAAAAGCACCCTGCAAGCCTGTTGGGACCCCTGGATTAGTACGGCGGGAGTCAGATAATCATTTGAGAGAGAGAGAGAGAGAGAGAGAGAGAGAGAGCGAGCGACAGAAGAGAGAGGTAGCGATATATATATATAGAGAGAGAGAGAGGAGAGAGAAAAAAAGAAACAACAAAAAAACATACATAGAGGGATACATGGAAAGAACGAGAGAGAGAGAGAGAGAGAAAAAAAAAAAAAAAAAAAAAAAAAAAAAAAAAAAAAAAAAAGAGAGAGAGAGAGTGAGGCAGACGAGGAAAGGGATGGAGAGGATTGGAAACGAGGATGACGAGGGGGAGTGGAGGGAAAGGAGGGCCACACGGGAAGGAGAAGGGAGGAGTGAGGAGGGGATGATTGGGAGGAGGATGAAGGGGGACGAAGGGGGGCGAACGGGGAGAAGGGAGAGGAAAGCGGGAGGCGGAGCGGAGTATGCGAGGGGAGACGAGGGCAGGGGCAAGGGACAGGGGGAGGAGTCGCAGGAGAGGAAGAAGGACAGGGAGGAGGACGAGGAACAGGGGGAGAAGGGGGAGCGGGAGGGGGAATGAAGTACGGAACGAGAAGGGGAGGGGCGGAGGCATAATTCTGTCATTGGCGAACTGGATTCGCCACTGCAGTGCGCCAGGGCCACTGCACAGCCAGCCCACGCAGTTCTGCAAACCACGGAGAACGCGCTTACGCGAGGGACAGCAGCCCGCTTCCGCAAGGCCGCAGGTAGCAGCAACGCGCTGTCCCGGGGATAGCGAAGTAAGCCGTTCCTCCAGGACGTTGGAAGCAGCAGTGAGGTAAGCCGTTCATGGCAGGCCGTCGCGGGACTCCGCCCGCCGTTGTGAGGCCGCACACGACAGCCTGAACAAGAGCACCAGAGCAGCGCCGCTCGGCCTCCTGGCCGTTGCCACCGGGAGGGTCGGGCCGAGTACGGTGGCCTCGCGCATGTGTCCTTCAAGTGTGTGCCTTTTCTGACATCTTGCGCTCTCGCAGCAAAACTTCCTACAAGTGGGCCCCACACGGGAGGGGGCGGTCCGTACCTTCGGTTGCGGTTGCATGGTCCAAAGTTTCGGTTGCGATTGCATGGTCCAAAGCCTAGCGTTGGACCTCGGAGGCCAGTGTCCAGAGCCCCCCATCATGCTTTGCGCGCCTTGCTGTGGCGCAATGCCTTGCGAAGCGCAGCACAAGGCCCGGCACACAGCGCGGGTGTCACCTAGGCGCTGGAGGGCAGTGAAGCAGAGGCACAGCTGAGTCGCGTTGGTGACTTCAAGAGGGGAGTGCGCAAATCAGCCCCAGCATCACCAGTATACCTAGCGCGCCAGACGCACCGCTCCCTGCAGGAGCCATGGGCGTGGGTCCGACCCACACGCGCGCATGTCGTTCCAGTTTTCAGAAGGTCACGCTGCAGCACTGCAGCGCCTGAACGTCCTCCGCTCTCTTGGAGTCAAAACTGTGGCAGAGGAGCGGGGGCATCCACATGCAACTATCTTCTAGAACGGAGAGGAGGGAAGGAGTGGGAGAAGGGGGGGTGGTGGGTAGGATGGCGAGAGGTGGAGGGACAGAAAATGATGCAAGAGGATGGGGAAGGGCAGGTGAGCGCTTGGCAGTCTGACGCGTGTGAGGAGGGATGACGGGTTGGGGGGAAACCAACATGACTGTTCAGCGATATTGATGTGTGTTGTGGTGTATGCTTTCTTGCACCCTTCAAGGACCCCGACCTCTACCAAATTGTCAGGACGTGCCTCATAGCGATGATAATTGGCCTCGGTGTGCTGTTCATGTGCGTGATCGGATTGCCCGCGACGAAACTCAGCATCGGGAAGCACGTCGAAGGCTGGGTGCACTATTACGATCAGATCCAGATCGCGAAAACCACGCTGAAGCCAGTGCAAGCAGCAGCCCCTGGAGAAACAGCTGAAGCCACCGACGATCCTGAGAAGCTGCGCGCGGCTGCTTGGACTCGGGGAGGGGGGAGGGGCCATGGAGGAAGCGCCGATCAGCTCATTCCACCGCCCTCCTCACCCCCCTCCACCCCGTGGCCATTTTGACTCAAGGCGTCTCAACGTCTCTGACCCTGGACCCCACAGCCGCGCGGCAAGGGGCAGTCTTCCGCCCCGTGCTGTGCCGCAGGTCTGGTGGCCACTTGCCCCGGGGGAGCCTGCCGGCAGCAGCGGTGCTGCAGGCAGAGGTGCTGCCGTTCTCGCGAAGGCCCCCCGTGGCCTGCCATGCGGGGCCAGCGCCGCCGCTGGCTCAGGCCGCAGGCGGGCGCATTCCTGGGAGGCCAAGGCGAGCATCACCTGCGCGACGAAGTCGGGGACTGCCCCGGCGCGGAGCAGCCCAGGTCGCACCATGAAACCTTCGGAGCGCGAGAGGTTTCGCAGCGACGGGCGTCGCAGACGGCGCCGCGCACGGGCCTCGCGCGCGCGCATGGCCCAGGCAACGGCGGCGGAGCGCCAGTGGGTCGCCCGTATTTCGCTCGCGGTCCTGGACCAGCAGAGCGCTACGCAGGGCATCGACGACGTCCCGACCTGCCCGACGCAGGGAGGGGGTCGAGGCGGACGAAATGGGGTGTAGAGGGGGTCACAAGAATTGCTGCATGCAGCTGATTGCTGCTCCGCAGTCACGCGCTTCCTACCCGATACACAACCGCCCCTGGCGCCAGGAGGCACCAGAAGCATTAGCTGCAGTCGAGTCGCTACCCCTCCCCCCTTTACTACGCTCCTGCCCCTGTTCGTTAGCTTCGCGCCTCTTCTCGATGATTATCAGCAGCAGGTAGATCTACCGGCCTGGCCTTCGGATCATCGCTCTTTTGGGCCATGTTATGTAGCAGAAATGACACATAAGAGCGGTCGTTCAAGCGTCCGGCTCGAACGTTCATTTTGAACGTTCGGCCTCATGTCAAACGTTTAGCCTCGGCTCGTTTCTCGGTCTAAACGCCACTTCAGCTTCATCACCGTTGTGATCGGTCGACGGGTACCTCATGTCGTCCACCACGAGGGGGGATGGTCTCGAGCCGAGCGCCCCCGCGCGGCGAGGCACGCCCAAGCGAGCAGAAGCAGTGGCGCTGCGTCTCCGCCCGCCCGGCGCGCGGGCGGCGGCGGCGCGCGGCCTGGACCCGGCCCGGCGTCCCCGAGCTGGAGTCGGCATCGTTGAACCTGCAGTCGGACCGAGGTACAAGATCGAGGTCGGTTCGGGGAGGGCGCCCCAGTGTTCCTCGTGTTTGCTGGATGCTCCTGTGCACCCGGAGGAGCGCACCCTTGGATGCTCCGTGCGTTTGGGCCCACGGAGGGTCGCATGTGCTTGAAGGATCCTCTTCTGGCCCAGGTCCGATTGCCTCCCCAGTCGCATCGGGCCATGGTGTCTCAGCCCCACCAGCACACACCCCAGTTGGGGATAGACACCTCGAAGCCCGAAGGGGACCTATATCCCCCATCTAGGGGGGCCAGTCGTCCAGTGTGGCCTGGGCCAGGCCAGTGGGGATCGGGAATCGGTAAAAGATGCTCGTGGAGAGCACTCCGCGCACTTCAGTGGGTGGCGTCGCGCGCCGCGTGGCCTGGCACCGTTTGAACAACGGGAATGGCGGCAGAGCCCAGCGCGGCCTTGCTGGAGCTGCGGCAGGACCAGTCCGGACGGGTGAAGCTCCAGCAAGACGGGAGCCTAAACAGGGCGCATCGCGAGGTGGACAGGAAGTGCAAGGGGGAGGAGCAGGAGGAGGGCAGAAAGTCATCTCGGGGAAGCACGCCGCGAAGTTTGCGCAGCGTCGGCACGAGCAGAGAGTGGTGGCAGCGGTTGCTCTTCAGCTTTTCTTAGCTGGTACTCGATGGGCACGCAAGGTTGACAGCGCCGTCAGGGCGGTCTCGACCAAGGCGCACCTCCCCGCGGCGGAACGGTGGCGCCAGTCCCACTGGATGCTCAGCTCTCCGGCGCGGCGAAGGTCGATGGCGGGGACTCGGGAAGGTGGCTCCTGATTCCGCGTGTTCTGCAACTTGGGTGTGGCTGGGTGCCGCGTGCGGCCTCGCTGCGTAGCTGCGGCGGCGCCATCAACGGCGGCGGCTCGCGGTGGACGGTCGCGGCGCAGGCGCCCATGGCGATCGCCGCCTCGCTGGGCCTCGGCTTCGATCGAGGAAGGCAGGCACGCGCGCCAGCCACGAGGTCTGTGGCAGCGCACGCGGCGCGCGCTGGAGCACGGCACCTGCTCGAGCGTCCAAGCAGGAGCGCCGCAGGGCGCCCTGAGGCGCGCGGAGCGCCCAGGTGGCGAAGAGGCCGCGGCACGCGCGGTCCCTCTGGGGCAAGAGCGGCGCGGAGGGCACCGAAGGCGGGAGGACCCACCGCCCGCCTCGCTCGATGCTGCCGCGCAGGCTGTGCGGCGAGCCCGCCCTGCTGCACCAGGCGTGCAGAGGTGCGCAGCGACTGCGAAGGCGAGGCAAGGCAAGGCAAGGCGGTCAGCAGGCCAGATCCCGTGCCGGAGCGGTCCCCCGGAGGGCAGACGAAGAATCTCGCGCAGGATCGGCCAATCGCCGCATGGTCAATCTCTTAGTCACCCATAAGCGACAATTTGTGCAACGTGACATAACCAACAAGAGAGCAGCGACTGCGGAGCAGTATTCAAATACTACATCGCCACCTCTGACCTCCATGAGCCTCGCGGCCACAAGGTAGAGCGACGCCGACGCCTGATGGTGGAAGCCGAGAAGCCCACGGAGCGCGGGGATGCCGCGGACGAGTCCCTCCAGCGTGAAGCAGTGCAAGATGTTCACTCCCTCGAGGCCGCGAGCGTGGGCGAGGGGAGAAGGAGCGTCGGGTGCAGCGCGTTGTTTCGTTGCGGACCCGCAGGCTCGTTCAGGCGGGGGGGGGGGGATGCGGGGGCCGTTCCACCAGAGGTTGCCGAGGCAGCTCGTCCCCGACGCCCCCTTCCTCATCGAGGTGGCTGCAGCGGCCGCCTGGAGTGGCGCACACCAGATCTTGAGGCGTCTGCACCATGGCTGGCTGGTAAGATGGTCCACGGGCACCCAGGGGCAGTTTCAGCACCGCGGATGTTGATTCGGGCGCAGAGCGCGAGACGGCCTCCAGCAACACTGCGGGTGTGGGCCTTTCCCGGTTCTTGTGCACCTTGCCCCAGTGCTGCATCTGCCTCTGATGATCCTCTCGTCGCACTCGGCCTCACCGACCCGAGGGTGGGCTTGACTCGAGGCGCGACGTCTGTGTGCCACCTCCATCGGAGTCTTCACTGGTGCGGGATTGACGATTCCTGGGTCGATCGCACGGCCGTCCAACGGCGTGCGGATGACCGTTGATTTGCTCTGGAGGAGATGAGCGCTTAGCAACGCGCAGCGTGCCTCGTGAAGCGTGTACTGCGTTGCCGCTGAGCGTGGGCCGACTCTTGGGGGAATCGCGGTGGGCATTGCGGGCACGTTGGACTTTCGGGGGTCAGTGGGGCGCACAGACAGCGTGGCATGCGTGGTTGATGGCGACGTCTAGGGGGTCGGCCAGGACGGGGTCACGAGAGGAGATGAGGAAGAGTAAAGAGGGAATGGGTGATTTGGGCGACGGCGACCAGCAGGAGGGAGAGGGGAAAGTGGCAAGCTGTAGGAGCGCTCGCGCCACATCTGACATCCGGTCCCTTCCTCCCATCCCTTCCCATTGCGTTGATGTTGTCTCCATCCGCGGACGCGTGTCATAGCCGACTTGGAACTCCAACAGCAAGACCTCATCGTGTTATGACCACTCGGATAAGGAGAGCTGCGTGCAAAGGAGGAGTAGGAGGAAGAGGAGGAGGAGGAAGTGGCGGGTGAGCAGGAGGATGCGCAGGAGAAAAAGAATGAGGATGTGGCAGAAGGGGGACGAGGACGAACAGCAGCAGCAGAAAATTAGAATGGAAGAAGCGGGAGAAACATGAGGACCAGGGGAAGGCGGAGGAGGTGGAATGAGGGGGGCGACAACGATAAAAAATCTGGGATCCGAAAAGTGGCCTACGTTGGGACGAGATTGCCATTCTGAACGACGGGAGCAAGGCGCCGATCCGAAAATGAGGCCCGTGCTGAAGCGGTGACATCGCTTCGAAGCACCGAGTACAGTTGAAATCCGATGTGTAAGCTAACAACCAAAACATAATGGAAAAGCAGCACGCGGGGAGGGCCGAATATCTTCCGCACGGAATCAGGGGAGAGAGGATAATAGTATTCAGAATGTGCAATGGTGAAGTAGTGAGCGAGGCTGCAGATGGGAAGACAGGGCAAGGGAGAGCATAGTTGAAAACAAGCGGTCCCCTGCCTGCCCTTGCCAATGAATGCGGAGCAATCCCAACCTTGCGTTTTCTCGATTCGTTACACATTGAATGTACAACTAAAGTTCCGGCTGCAGACAAGCTGCAGCTTCACACGGGCTAGAATCAAGTTGGACACCATGGGCAAAGTTGTGTCATGGTGGTGCCTTGTCTTGTGCGCTGCGTTGAGTTGCATTAACGCCTCAAGGAATCAGGGAGACTGTTCTCAAGGAGCCCAACCCTGGATCACTAGCGCCACTTGCCCCCTTGCACGAAACAAGCTGGGACCACAGAGCAAAGCCCCGCTTGGGAACAGAGCTCATGAGGACCCAGTGGGACCCATCCTCCCCCTCCTCCGTTCCCTCCTCCCCTCCTCCGTTCTCTCCTCCTCCTCCTCCTCCTCCTCCTCCTCCTCCTTCTCCTTCTCCTCCTCCTCCTCCTATTGCGAAGGCCTTACGGCCGGTGCTGCCGACCCTGGAGGGCGACCCATGCGTTCTCTAATGTGGCGGGGGGGACCTCTTGGGGCTTCCTGGGGGCCTCTTGGGGGTCTCGTGGTGGCCTCTTGGGGGCATCTTGGGGCTTCCTGGGAGCCTCTGTCGCCGAGGGCTCGTCGGGCCCCCCGTCTGGGCACCCTGTTGGAGCCGTTTGGGGAGCCTCTGGGGCCATCTTGGAGGCATCTTGGGCGGTCTTGAGGCTCTCTTGGGTCATTTTGGGGCTCTCTTGAGGCCTCTTGGGCTATCTTGGGGCAATCTTGGGGGTATCTGGGGCCGTCTTGGAGCGTCGGCAAGTTGAAACGGCGAGAACGCCAAAATCTGCCAACAAAAATTAAGGAAATCATTGATTTGTCCCTCTTCGTGCCCTCTTGGGAGTGCTCTTGGAGACTTCTTGGAGCGTCTTGGCAATCTCTTGGGCCGTCTGGAGGCTACTTTGGCGTCTTCGACCGATGGTTCGGCGATTCGGGGCCCTCTGGAGCCGTCTTGGAAGCCTCTTGGGGCACTCTTGGCCAGTCTGGGGGCTTTTCTAGGTCCCGGGACATCCCGGGGGGGATGCGTATCTGCCCCCCCCACCCCCCCCCCGGGACCCCCCCCGGGACCCCCCCGGGACCCCCCCCCCCCCCCCCCGGCGGGGAAGGGATCAAAGGGAAGGGGCTTCCCTTCGACTCAGCTACGACGTTGCTCAATTTCGCTTTGCCTTCGACTCAGCTACGACGTTGCTCGATTTCGCTTTGGTTTCGCTTTGGCTGGCGCGCCTGAGGGGAGGGCGACGACGACGACGACGACGACGACGACGACGAACGGAAGAGCATCGACGACGACGACGACGACGACGACGACGACGACGACGACGACGACGGCGACGACGACGACGTTCACGACGAACGGACAAGCATCTTCCACACGCCGACAGGGTCGGCGGATTCCTATTCTCTTCCTCCTCCTCCTCCCCCTCCTCCCCCTCCTCCTCCCCCTCCTTTCAGTCAGATGGCCCTTATTGAAGCATCATGCTGTTGCCACTGGGGTGGAAGCGAATCCTTCCCTTGGGAGCGGCGGCAGGGCCGGAGGGCGAACGGGCCCGAGGACAGCCGTGCAGAAGCGCCAGCTGGCCTTGCCCGGGGTGCCCCCGACGGTGTCCGCTGGCATGCTCCAGGACTCAGGGCGCTCTTGCGGCAGCACCTTTGGTGGGGGGCTGGGGAGGCGGACCGAAAAGGGGGCGCGAAGCGGGACGGGGTGGGCACGAGTGGGCCTCGTAGCCTCACCATCGGCATGTGATAGTGATCCACTTGCGGACAACCAGTTGCTCTCTCTCTCTCTCTCTCACTGACGCCCCCCCCGTGCCCAGCATGTCTGTCCCGAGGTCCGGAGGAGGGGGCAGGATGGCAGGCTTCTCTGAGCCAGGGCCTCCCAGGGCCAGTCCTGTGGCCCTGGAGCCCAGGGAAACACGGCCGGCGGCACGAGATCTGCGCGCGAAGGACGGGGGGCATCCATCGGAAGCCCCCTCGAGTTCCTTTGAGGCCGTCAGGGCCATTACTCATCCATCCTCCTCGTTGGGGGGAGGAGGAGGAGGAGGAGGAGGAGGAGGAGGAGGAGGAGGAGGAGGAGGAGGAGGAGGAGGAGGAGGAGGAGGAGGAGGAGGAGGAGGAGGAGGCGGAGGAGGAGGAGGGAGGAGGGAGGAGGGAGGAGGAGGAGGAGGAGGGAGGAGGGAGGAGGGAGGAGGAGGGAGGAGGGAGGAGGGAGGAGGGAGGAGGGGGCACCGCGTTGCAGAGCCCAGCCCGCCGACCAGCGCACACTCCCGAGGGTGGCGCTGCCAGCACGCACGCAAGCACGCACGCACGCCTTCCGTTTCCCGTGCGCTCCTTGGGCCCCTGGGGTGCGCCCACCCTTACCACCACCTTGGGGAGCAGCAGCAGGAGGAGGATCAGGAGGAGACGACGAGGAGGCTACGGCCCCGCCGCCGACCCCCGTCAGCGTTCCTCGCCCCCCCCTCTTCCCATGACCCCCCCCTGCGCCAGCTGGCGGAAGGCTGGCAGAAGCCAGCGGTCCACCAGTTCCGAGACTGTTCCGTGGTCTCGGCTGCTCTCCTCCCAGTTCCAACCCCTAGATTGGTTTGGCCCTCCCTCTTCCTCACTCCTTCCCTCCACCTCCCTCCTGTTTCATCCCTCCCTTCCTCCTGCTCCCTCGACCCTCCTCCGACTCTTTCGGAAGTTTGTGATCCTGGCTCCTCTCTGATATTCCTCCTCCTTGCGGCTGCGGCCGACATGTGCTAATGCCGTCCTCAAGAGATGCATATGCATACATATATGTATACACGTCATTATGCAAAATTTTGAAAAACGCTGGCCCGATCTATGTGTATGTAGACGGGACAACCTCCAGGCAACCGCGGGACACCGCAGGACAACCACGGGGAGGCACGGGACAACCGCAGGACAACCACAGGACACCGATCTGATTGTCTACCGGTTCCCTTATCAGTCTACCGATCCCTCTACAAATAAATCGTTAGAATCGGGCGAATGAGGTCTCTGGAAATGGGGCCGCGAAACGTGCGCGCAATAGTTCATGCAATAGATGGAAACGATCACCTACATCGCACTGTGCCTCGTGCAATAGTCGGGGTGCAATAGTTTGCTCGCGCGAACGCAAAATATTATCTCTGCGATGCAATGGTTTGCCTTCCCGTTTGTTTGCGAGCAATAGTTTGCAGTAGTTGGCCTGCCACGATGCAATAGTTGCGTCTGATCATGCAATATGACGTAATAGTTGAGCCCGCGGGCGCAGTGGTTCGCAATAGTTGCGCGCAATAGTTCCACGCGGCGAACTATTGCAGTTGCGGTTTGAAGCCAAATTTCCAAATGCCCCATTTCCCCGGAACCAAAATCGGTCGATCTCACGATCTACGGGCCTCACACTTTATCCAAGACGCCTACGGCGAATCACCGCCGCCCCCTGCCCCTTTGGAAGCGCCTCTGAGGCCGACAGCTGGGCCGGAGCTTGGCCAAGCTATTGAGCCAGTTGTTCCCCGAGTCGGTTTGGAAAGACTTCGGGGAACGCATGGGGGAGCAAGAAGAGGAGGAGGGGGAGGATGAGGAAAAAAGAGGAGGATGAGGAGGAGGAGGAGGAGGAGGCCTCTTGGGCGCCTCTTGGGGCACTCTTGGGGCCTCCTGGGAGCTTTCCGGGGGCCTCTTGGAGGGTTTTGGGGAGCCTTTGGGGGCTTCTTGGGAGCCTCTTTGGCCGTCTTACGGCGTTCCTGACTTGTCTGACGCCGTCGGAAGCCGTCTTGGGGGCCTGTCTGGGTCGTCTTGGGACCTTCTTGGGGCCCATCAGGGGTTCTTAGAGGCCATCTTGAGCGTCTTGGAGGCCTCTTGGGCCGTTTTGGGGCCCTCTTGGGGCCGTCTTGGGGGCCTCTTGGGCCGTCATGGGGCCGTCTTGGAGGCCTCTTGGGCGATCTTGAAGGCCTCTTGCGCCGTCTTGAGTCGTCGGAATGCCGAGAAGAAGCAAATGCCAAAATCTTTCAGAAACCTTCAGAAAATCAATGATGTTGGCCTCTTCGGGCCCTCCTGGAAGACCTCCTGGACGCCTTTTGGGCCGTCTTGGAGGCCTCATGGGGGCCTCTTGGGCCGTCTTGGGCCATCTTGAGGTCATCTGAGGCCGTCTTGGGCCATCTTGAGGTCATCTGAGGCCGTCTTGGGTGCATCTTGGGCCGTCTTGGAGGCATCCTGGGGCTATCTTAGCCGTCTTGGAGGCCATGTTGGCCGTCTTGGAGGCCTCTTGGGCCCTCTTGGGGCCGTCTTGGGGGCCATCTTGGGCCGTCATGGGGCCATCTTGGAGGCCTCTTGGGCGATCTTGGGGGCCTCTTGCGCCGTCTTGAGTCGTCGGAATGCCGAGAAGAAGCAAATGCCAAAATCTTCCAGAAACCTTTCTAGAAAATCCATGATTTTGGCTTCTTCGGGCCCTCCAGGAAGACCTCCTGGACGCCTTTTGGGCCGTCTTGGAGGCCTCATGGGGGCCTCTTGGGCCGTCTTGGGCCATCTTGAGGTCATCTGAGGCCGTCTTGGGTGCATCTTGGGCCGTCATGGAGGCATCTTGGGGCTATCTTAGCCGTCTTGGAGGCCATGTTGGCCGCCTTGGAGGCCTCTTGGGGCCGTCTTGGGGGCCTATTGGGCCGCCATGGGGCCATCTTGGAGGCCTCGTGGGCGATCTTGGGGGCCTCTTGCGCCGTCTTGAGCCGTCGGAATGCAGAAAAAAAGCAATATGTCAAAAACCTCTTGAAAAAGAACAATGATTTTGGCCCCTTCGGGCCCTCCTGGAGCACATCTTGGAGGCCTCTTGGGCCGTCTTGGAGGCCTCTTGGGGGCCTCTTGGGCAGTCTCGGGCCATCTGGAGGCCATCTCAGGCCGTCTTGGGTGCATCTTGGGCCGTGTTGGCGGCATCTTGGGGTCATCTCAGCCCTCTTCGAGGCATCTTGGGCGTCTTGGAGGCCTCTTGGGCCGCCTTGGGGCCCTCTTGGGGGCATCTTGGGGGCCTCTTGGGCCGTCATGGGGCCATCTTGGAGACCTCTGGGGCGATCTTGGGGCGATCTTGGGGGCCTCTTGGGCAGTCGGAAGGCCGAAAAGGCGAAAATGCAAAATTCTGTTTTTTTTGTTTTGTTTAAACCTCAGGGGAATCAATGATTTGGGCAGATTCGGGCCTTCCTGGAGGACCTCTCGGAGGCCTCTTGGGCTGTCTTGGAGACCTCTTAGGGGGCTCTTGGGCCGTCTTGGGCCATCTTGAGGCTATCTTAGGCCGTCTTGGGTGCATCTTGCACCATCTTGGAGGCATTGGGGGGCCATCTTAGCCGTCTTGGAACCATCTTGGCCGTCTTGGAGGCATCTTTGAGGCCATCTTGAGCGAACAATTGGGGGATTGAGGTGCTGGGCAATCTTTCCGGGACCCCGGCGGACTGGCCGAAGACCCAGGGGGAGTTTTTTGGGGAAAATAACCAAACCGAGAGGATCTAGCACGCCAGGCACCCTTGTGATGAATCAACAGGGGGCGGCGGATCGAAGACGCCTACGGCGAATCACCGCCGCCCCCTGCCTTTTTGGAAGCGCCTATGTGGCCGAACGTTGAGGCCAGATCTGCCAAGCTATCGGACCATGTGTTCCCCGAATCGGTTTGGAAAGCCTTCGGGGAACACGTGGGCATCTTGAAGGTCATCTTGGCCGCCTGGAGGCCATTTTGACCCTCTCGGGCCTTCTTGGAGGACGTCTTGGAGGGCTCTTGGGCCGTCTTGGAGGCCATCTTGAGCGTCTTGGAGGCCCCTTGGTCCGTCTTGGGGGCCTCTTGGGGCCGTCTTGGGCCTCTAGGGCGATCTTCGGGGGTACTTGGGCCATCTCGGGCTGTCGGAAGGCCGAACAAAAAGCAAATGCCACAGTCCTTCAAAAACCTTCGGAAATCAATGATTTTGGCATTTTCGGGCCTTTTTGGAGGCCCTCTTGGAGGCCTCTTGGGCCTTCTTTGGGCCATCTTAGTGCCATCTTCGGCCGTCTTGGTGGGCCCTTGGCCTGTCCGACGCCGTCGGAAGCCGTTTGGGGGGCAGGCAGGAGGGCAGCCTGCCCTCCTCTGAGAGGAGGAAAGAGGAGAAGGAGAAGACTCGACCACAGTGCTCTATACAAAACGAGAACCCAACCAGGGAGGATTGAGAAGAATTGTATACAATCGACCACCCTCCCAAGCCTGGACTTCACCCACCCACCCTTGCGGTGATTCTGCGTCACCGCTCATGTCCCATGTGAAACCACGCTATCTTGGCCCAGCTGGTATCCTCCTCCCCGTCATTCTTGCCAAGTCATAAGATGCGTTCGCCGTCGTATATCTCAACCGATGACGTTTCAACAACCCGCTGCACAACAATACCACGAACTCCGCGCGCGCGCCGCCACACGCGCACATCAACATCCAACAAACCACATTCTTCATATACCAAAACATGGCCAATTTCAAATCAGCAAAAATCGCGGTCGTTCAACAAGGAGTTGGCAGAATTTTTTGCGCGCACCCTTTGAAAGCTCAAGAACTCCGCAAGTTTGTTGTTACAGCCGTTTTGTCACATCAGACCATCAACGAGGCCGCGCTGGTCGCGAGTGGGGCCGCGAGTAGGCCTCCCAGGAGGCCCAAAAATGAGAAAACGAGGCAACGGTAGCGGTATGGGTACCTCTTCCTCCTCTGAGTTCGCCTCGCCCTCAGACCCCCTTTACTCGCGCCGTTTTGTGAAATAGCCACTCGCGCGCGCATGACGAACACGTCCAACCATCATGGCGCACCCGCCAATTTTCTGTCGAACAGCACCGTGCGGGACACACGCGCACGTTGCCGCGCGCGCACGTCGAGATCATGGCAGGTGCCTTGATCGTGCGAGTGCGCACTTTCGCATCATCGTCATCAGCGCAGTCCTATCATCATCGTCAGCGCCATCACTGTCATCATCATCACCATCCTCATCATACTCAGCATCATCAGCAGCATTATCTGCATCACCACCATCAGCAGCAGCATCATCATCACCATTGTCATCACCATAGTCGGGATCATCACTGTCATCACAGTCGCGGTCGTCGTCGTCACTGTCGACGTCGTCGCCGTGGTTGACATCATCATGATCTCGCGCACGCCCGAGTCACCAGCCTGTGATACGCGCTGGGAAGTTCCCATCGGTAAGCACCATCGCGGCTGCATCACGTGTGCCAAACCAGCTGGCCGATTTGCGCGAGAGCGTGCGCGCGCCAGCGCGGCCGTAGAGATGTGTAAGCAAGTTTTGATTGGCGACGGCATCCGTAGCCAAATGGGTTTTGCCAAATCACTTGCGGGCGGGAAGGTGGGCGCGGGCATTGGAGTTTTCATTTGATTAGCTACAAATTTCAACAACCCCGCTATAACCTCACAGACACATGCCAACAGTTGCCATCTCCCCAACGAGCACCAAACGAAACAAACATGACCTGCCCCCCCAATCCCTCCCGAGGAACAGGATTGCGAGCCGCCCGGGGTCATCGCCGATGCCAGCGGCAACTTCATCCGCTACGACCCCGCGGCCTACTCGCGGGCCGCCTTCAAGGCTATCGAGGCGCTCCGGGCAGGGGCGCTGAATTCTAGGCCTCCCGGGTGGAGTCAGAGTGGACTGGGTCGGAGGACCTCTCCGCATCGCGGATACATCGGCGATGCGGCTCGATGCGGAGCCTGATTTTGTCCACGCCGAGTGCGCCAATGCGTCGACGACGTCGCCGACACATCGGCGATGCGGCGCGATCCTCTGCCCCAATCCTTCCGACCCGATCTGGGAGGCTTCCATGAACCCGCACACAGCCCAAGGAGGAACCCAGGAGAGACCGCGAGGCCCCAGGAGCTCTTGTTCGCCTCGGCATGCCACGAGCCAGGCTCGCCACGTCAGACCCTGTCGAACCACCGGGAGATCCTGCCGACCCTCCCCCTCCGTGTTTTTGTTGTTTGTTTTCTGTTTTCCTCCCTCCTCCTCCTCCTCCTCCTCCTCCTCCTCCTCCTCCTCCTCCTGAACCTGCCCCTCCATCCTCCAGGCGCGCCAGCCCAAGAATTTCAACCCCATGCACACGAGCAACGTCACGGAGCTGCCGGGCGACCCGTCGATGTCCCGAGCACCGAAGGCCAGGGAGAAGCCGAAGCGCGCGACCGAGCCAGAATTGGCTCGGGCCGGGGCCAGGTTCGGAGCAGTGTTCTGGACGATTTCGCATGCATGTTTTTATCATGAAGGGGCGCCCCGCGTAACGAATTGCGTTCTGGTGCTTATTCGTACTTCCCCTTCGACGCCGAGGGGAACGAGCTCCGAATAGGTCCCCACCGTCCCCACGTCGTCTCCTCGTCTTCTTGTTGGTCGATGTGCTCGTTCGCTCGCTCGATGGAGGGCTTCGCAGTCCGCCACCCCAGCCCCCAGCCCACGGGGGGAAGACCCGTCCCACCCCCTTCCCCCCAAACCTCGCCATGCCCCGGCCTCCCCTCCGGCCCCCTCGATCCGTCCCCTCGCCGAAACGGCCCCACGGCGCCGTCGCTTGGCCCCATCGCGGGCGACATTTCCTGACCACCCCAGCCCCCATCCCAGGAGGAGGAGGAGGAGGAGGAGGAGGTGGTACTCGGAAGTTTGGGGTCCCCCTTCTTCGACTCCCTCGCCCTCGAATGTCTTCCCTGTCCCAGCCCCTCCCCCCATCCAGCCCCCTCCTCCCGTCCACCCGCCCCGTTGCGACCCCATCGGTTCGCGCCCTCTTGCTGCTTTGGAAGGCGCTCACGAGCGGAAGCGCCTGGAAGAGCTCGCCGTGGGCGGAGCCGATCGAGGACCAGCCCAGAGGCCTACGCTGTCGCCTCCCTCGGTGGAGGGTAGGGGGAGAGGAGGAAGAAGGAGGAGGAGGAGACCCTGGCCTCTGCTGGGGGCCGCTTCTGGGCCCCAGAGCAATGGGAAAACAGTCCCAGAGTACACATTGGCTACAGGAGGGGAGTCGATAGTCGCGGGGCCCGCGGACAGCAAATCAACACGCCGGAGGCTTGAGGAGGAGGAGGAGGGAGTTTTCGATGGTTCTGGGGATTTTCTGGCATCATTTGACGTCCTAGCCTTCAACTCCAGTTTTCTCCATCCCTTCCCCCTCCCTTCCTTCGCACTGTCCCTCATCCCTGGCTCCCTCCGTCCGCCCCTTTCTACCATTATTCCCTCCTCCTCTCCTCCACCTCCTCCTCCTCCTATCCCTCCTCCTCCTTCTCCTCCTCCTCCTCCTCCTCCTCCTCCTCCTCCTCACCTCCTCCTCCTCCTCCTCCTCCTCCCTCCCTCCTCCTCCTCCTCCTCCTCACCTCCTCCTCCTCCTCCTCCTCCTCCTCCTCCTCTCTCCTCCTCCTCCTCCTCCTCCTTTCCTCCTCTCCTCCCTCCTCCTCCTCCTCCTCCTCCTCCTCCCTCCTCTCCTCCTCCTCCTCCTCCTCCTCCTCCTCCCCTCTCCTCCTCCTCCTCCTCCTCCTCCTCCTCCTCCTCCTCCTCCTCCTCCTCTCCTCTCTCCTCCTCCCTCTCCCTCCCTCCCCTTTCTCCTTTCCTCCCCCCCTCTCTTCCTTCCTTCCTTCCTTCCTTCCGCCTCCCGCTGCCTCACTCCCTCCGTCCCTCCGCCCTCGTGTCCCTGCATCCGCCGTCACCCTCCACTCGTCCTGCTCCCCCTTCTCCCCCCCGTCGGCATCATCTCCCCCTGACGCCGTAGATCTCATGGGATTCCCGCGAATGCCCTGAAATCTTACAACCAGTCCAAAACAGTTGTCTACGTTTCTCTTTCTTTCTCTCTCTCTCTCTCTCTCTCTCTCTTTCTACCTCTCTCTCTACCTCTCTATGTATCGGTTTGATGTCTCTTTCTCTCTCTCTCTCTCTCTCTCTCTCTCTCTCTTTCTCTCTTTCTCATTCTCTATTTCTCTCCCTCTCTTTCTCTTTCTCTTTCTCTCTCTCTCTCTCTCTCTCTCTCTCTTTCTCTCTTTCTCTCCTTTTTCTCTCTATCTCTCTCTCTCTCTTTCTCTCTCTCCCTCTCTGACTGGTACACCGAAGGCGGGGAAGATATGAACACCGAGTTGGGTCATTTATGTCCGCCGCTTTCCTCCCTCAAGCGGCGCTGCAGGAGAGGAAAACTCGACAGGTTCGAAGCCTCCACCCCTGGCTTCCCCTGCTCAGAAGAAGGAGTATGTCCCTGAGGTAACTTGGGCCCTGGACTGCGGGGGGGGGGCGCTCGGGTCCGCTCGCCACTAAATCCGGCACCAATCGTTGCAAAATTTGCGCCCTTCGACAACCTCTGGCCGCGCAGGCGGTGGCTTGCGGGATCCCGGGCCCAAACGGGCTGGCCCCTGGGAGCCTGGCCACCTCCCTTCGGCGCCGGGCGGCCTGCCCTCGGGGGGGCGTCTGTCCGCGGGCCCGCGGTGTGCTGGGGGTCTCGGTGGGGCGTGGCCCGTTGGAGCGAGCTCGGGGCCTAATCCTCCTGCGCAGCCCCGCGCTTCCGCGCCCACTGAATACAGCCCCCCTGTTCAGAGCGCCCGCGATGGAACCTCTTCCTGCGGGCACGCTGGCGCGACGCAAGGTTCACGGCGGCGACGACGCCGAGCAGGGCGAGGCGATCGGTCGCGTGAGAAAGGTAAGGGCCGCAGGCGCCAAGGGGGGGCTTTGCGAGATCGATCAAGTGAGCTTCTCGGACGCCCAATACGCTGGGTGGCGCAGGATGACGGCGAGGAAGTCTGCCTTCACTCATTTCCGCAGTGGGCCTCGGACTCCTTGCGCCTGGAGCGGGAAGGTCGCTGGGGAGGAGTGCATCCACGCCGACAAGTACGAGGTGATCGGCCCGCTAGAGCTGGAGGAGACGCACGCCGCGTGGTCTGACACTGACCTTGCGCTTCCCGCACTGGTTGCCGAGGCCCCCTCTGCCGAGGCGGCGGCCGCCGCCGCCGCGAAGGGCTGGCCTAAGGCAAAGGCTAAGCCCAGGGCCGCAGGCCCAGCCGAGGAGGACGGACACGGCGCGCTCGTCGGCGACGGGGAGGATGAGGCCGCCGAACTGCCAGAGCCGATGGCGGGCGCCGCGGCCGCAGGCGCTGCCGCGACAGTCAAGGGCGGAGGCGGCAGGCCTGGCGGAGGCGGGGCCGCAGCATCCGATGGGAAGCCCCGACCCCGGGCCGCTGCTAGGCCGAGGAGGCCGCGCGCTCGCCCATGGATCGCTCGACCTCAAGAGCGACAAGAAGAGAGAGCTTCTCCGCGGCAAGCTGGACCTGCTGAAGCGGGTGGTAGACCAGGGTTGCACCGAGGCGGGGCCCCCCGCGAAGAAGCCGCATCTTGAGGACATCATCTCGGGCAGGGCCGATGGGAAGGAGCCTGCAGTCAGTAGGAAGGCTCGGAAGAATGACCACGACGACGGGGGTGACGAGCCCAGCAAGGAGAAGGACCGCGCGGCTCCGCGCGCCTTGATGGGCATCCTCAAGAGCGCCTGGAGGAATGCTCGGGACTCCGACTCGGACGAGTTGGATGGCGACCTGGGCGCGGGCTCGAGCGCGGCGAAGTTGGTCGGCAAGTGGTTGGCTTTTTTTGAAAGAATATGGAGAAGAAGTACCTGGAAATGATCCTGGAGAGGGAGATCAAGAAAATATTGGCGTTGCTGGACGAGGGAGAGCTGGAGTCGGACGACATGAGCTCTCCCCCAGCGCGCACGCGGTTCTTCCTCCGCGTCTTCAAGCCAGAGCGCCCGCTCAAGTAAGCGGGAGTGGGCAGGTACAGAGAGATGGGGACCTTGGCTGAGTCCATGGATTTGCTGCTTCGCGGCAAATCAGCACACGCTTTAGACTACTTGATGAGCCGTCCCCGTGCGAGCCAGAAGGCGTTGAGGGATGGGCCTACCAGAACTTCACGCCGCTTGGAGTTGATACCGCCAGAGGCCCCAAGGTTCAGCCTCAACGAAGACGAAGAGATGGCCCTCGGCGTCGAGGCGACGCAGCAGAACATGCCAGCGCTGGGCGAGCGCCCCCGAGGCTCGCGCCAGGAAGTTGGCCGTGGAGGTGCGGCAGGCAACGCGCACCTCTCCAACGGCCAGCAACGCGCCGGAAGCCCAGGGCGCGAGTTGCTGCATACACCGGTGGGAACTGCTGCAGATGCACGCCAGCTTCGAGATCGCCTAGATAACGAGCTCGCGAACGACCTACAGGCCGAGACGCGGAGCCCCAGCCGACCGCTGGTCCTTCTTGACCTGGAGCCGGGGGGGCGGCTTGACCCTGACGGGAGACCTTCCACTCGCGACGGTTCTGTGGGCGGAGCTCTTCTCTCGTCGAGGGTCGAACTGAAAGCTGAGCACCCGGAGGAGCAGGGCGAGTCGGGGCGGCAGCACAAGGCGCGGATCAGCGCGCGCACCAGGGGGCCACGCAAAGGCCAGCAGGGCATGAAGGGAGGCCAGGCCCAGACAGGGCACGGCCGCCGCGTGGTCCGCCTGGGCCAACCCCCTTCAGAGGGGTTGGCGACTTGAGAGACTGGCCAGCCGTCGCTGCGCGACGCTGGGACATCTCCAGTCGGGAGCTCTCGGAGGACGGTTTCCTGAACTATGACAGCATCTCCCGCCCACTTGCGAGGACGAGAGAACGTCGGCGATAATTACACTAGCGCTGCGCGCCACAAGGCGAGGGCAGCCTGCAGGGGCGGACCCCCAAATGACTGCTCCGATCCCCCTGCGCGCTCTCGATTGGCGACAACGCGCCGCGCGCAGGGGTTCGCGGAGCGTCGCGGGCACTCTCAGCGGGAGAGCGAAGTTCGCGACGGAGGAGGTGGAGGAGATGGTGGACTTGACGGGGGACCTGTGGATGCACTTCGTCACCCATCGGTCTCGACGCCAATTTTCTCTGCCACTTGAGCGAGGGATGGCGGAGGCACTCGTCAGGCCAGACGCGGTCGCAGACGGCCAGCTTGGCGACCCTCCGCGACGCGGGGCACGGGCGCGCAGGGGGGGGAAGCTGCGCCCGTTCCCGCACTGAAAGGCCGAGGCGCTGGGCCCCCACTCCAAGTATAGAAACGACGAGGGCAGCAGGGCCCCACTGCTCACGCTGGGAGAGTTGACACCTGGCCCCCTCAAGGCCGAGCACGTCGGGAAGCTCCAGGCGCGCGAATTCGCGGGGCCGCGGGCCAGGGACTTCCTGGAGGATCCACGCAAGGCTTTGCTGCCAGTCGCGCAGTGGCCCGACGCCATCCCCAAGGCCCGGGTCAGCGCGGAGACCGACGAGAATCCGTGGAAGGTCGCGCGGGAGTTCGAGCACGACGACGTCTTCGAGCACGGGGGCCAGAAAGTTCCCGCCGATTTCTTCGCAGCGCGCAAGAAAGGCATTCCACGACGCGGAGAGCCACGGGTCACGCGGCCGATTGTCAACCTGACCCCGGCCAATGGCTCCGTGAAGGAGATGGAGCAGGACGTCGCGACCTTGGCCCCTTCGCCTCATCGGGCGTCGATCGGCCCGGAGAACGGCGAGGTCGCGCAGCGGAGCGGCGACGGCCAGAAGGGCATTTTCCCCATGCGGACCCCGCCGCGGAGCTGGAAAGGTCCCACGGCAGCAGGAAGGCCATTCCCAGGTCAAGTGTTGCCGACCACAAGAGCGGATCTACTTGGCCGCGTCGGTGCCCCACGTGGGTTGCACTATCCGCCCTCTTATTTCGGCGCTTTCACCGACGTCTTGGCCTGCTGCATGTTCCTAAAGGTGCCGCCTCACCGCCCGGTCGAGAGTGGCGTCGCGATCGACCACGGCCCATGCCAGCAGTCCTCGCCGGCATCGCAGGGGCCAGTCGCGAGTGGCGGCAGGCGCACATGCACGACTTTGACGCGGAGGCGGCATCTTTGGCGAGTACCGCGGCCGGCCACGGTACCCTCGGCTACTTCCAACAGAGGATTGGAGATAGTTACCGCGCCAACGGCGTCGATATAGCAGACGACAAGGCCAACTGCAGACAGTCCCACGTCACGCGCACGGGCGCGGAGGTTGACGGCTTTGCTGGAAGAGATGCGAATGCTCGGGGCTGTAACCTGGCTGCTGTCGCTGACGCTCTTCCTCTTGAGCTTGCCACGACAGCGAGGAGGTGGTCTCCCGGTGCCACTTGGCCGCTGGGCGCGGGCGCAGGAGTTCAGGCGACCGCTGCGCAGCATGTTCAACTGCGCGTGGGAACGGTTGGCGTACAACAAATGGGTGATCGTCGTCCAGATGACCTCGGAGCAGCTGCGCGCGCCGGCTATGCTGCCGCTGGCTAGTACCAACTTACGACACTAGCAGCGTGGCCACCTGCTCAGACGCTAGCGAGAACGCCGGGGCGCCTGCGCGAGCGTGGACCTCAGCGACGAGGGCAACGACGCCGTCGGGAGCTTCACTCGGAATGGCGGCCTGCCAACGAGGGACAGGTCCATGCGCCCGGCCAATTTCAAGGGCCGCATCGAGGTAGAGACCCACAGCGCGCCGCCACGCGGAGGCCGAGGCAGCGCCCCAGGGGCATTGCCCATTTGCCTGTTCGACGGACTTGGTTGCGCCTCTGTTGCCCTCTGCCGCGCGGGCTGCATCGCAGTGCACTACGCCAACAGCGAGATTGACAAGAATGCCACGCGCATGGCGCGCGCGAGGAGGCCGACGTGATTGAGCTGGGCCGCGTCGAGGACGTCGCCGAACAGGCGTTCGCTAGTTCGGCGCCTCATTGCAAGGATGAGATCGATTTTGCATTGATGGCTGGGGGCAGTCCCTGTCAAGACCTCGCTGGAGTCAACGCCGAGCCCTTAGGGCTGAGCGGAGAAGAGAGCTCCTCATTCCACCACTTTCCTCGCATATCCGCTGCCGCGGGACGTCCATTCACGCGCCTGATCCATTCGATGGAGGCGAGCGTTGCTAGCATGACCCTCGGTCTCCTGGAGTTTCAGCGAGGCCCTCAAAGCGCGCCCCGTCGAGCTGCGCAACAGCCTCTTCATTGAGAACCGTCGCCCACGACTTCATTGGCGTGCCTGGGGCGTTTCATCGATAGATGGGGCCAAGATCACTAGCGCGAGCCGAGGGCGAACAGCGCGAGTCAGACGAGTTCGACGACTAGAGGGAGGGGCGTGGATAACTCCGGGAGCCGATCGGCCGGACGATTCGACGACTGGATACGGATAACTCCGGGAGCCGACGGGCGTGGATAACTCCGGGAGCCGACGGGCGTTCGGGAAGCAAGCGAAGAGGCGATCAAGCGCTGGGCCTCATACGTGCACTCGCATCCCACATACCAGCACAATGAGCATAACTGCATCATTGAAGAGGGACTGGCTCGTTCGGCTACTTCGACTGAGCGCGAGCTCCTCTTGGGGCCCCCGAGGCGCTACACTTCGGCCGTCGCCATGTCAGGCTCGAGTCAGGAAGCTGTAGAGGCCCTGAGCCGTTCACTCCTCGGGAACGCGTTCGCGGTGGCCCCCCCGACAGCGCGGCTCTTCAGGAATCCGTTCACGACTGCTGGCTATTCGGCAGAACGTTCAGGAGAGCCCCTCGCGAAGCCTATCGAGTGTACGGATTTGCTGAAGGAGGAGATCGAGCATGCGAAGGAGCCAGTCCAGGCGCGCCCGGAGAGCGGTTCACTCGCGCAGCTGTTCTGGAGCGCGGGCGAGCGGAGCAGCTCGGACGTGCGCTTGGACATCGGGGCCCCATTCAGACCGAAGGCCTGCCTGCCCTCGAACCAGCGTCGCTTCGCCCCTCTGGAAGTGGAACGCGGTTTTGAGTGATCCTTGAAGCCCAGGTGCGCTCGGGAGTCACATCAACGCGTTGGAGCTGTGAGCGGCAAAGGCGACAGTGCGATGGAGGACGAGAGCAGAGATTTTCCGCCGCGCACGGTTTCTACATCTGCCAGGCTCTCAAGCAACGGCGGCCATACTTACCCGAGGTCGAACGAGCTCGCGTCAGCTGCGCAACTTGGCCAAGCAGTACTTCGATACGCTGTTGGTTTCGGACTTGTACCCGCTCATCGACCACGCGAACACCACGGCGCATCCTGTCGATCATCCGTCGTGGCCAAAGTCTGCGAACAAGGCCGAGGCCAAGTCATGGGCTGGGCATCACAAAAGCTTGCGCTAATTGGCAGGAGGCGGCCTGCCCACCTTGCCCAACAACACCGCAAACGACACATTCCTCTACGGGGTTTGACGATTACAGAGCCTACACGGATACACGGAAGAGACATGTAAATGCAATCAGCCGTTTCTTCCAGCGGCGCAACCAGACACGACGACATTTGCTGTGTGATTCGGCGGATCAAATGTTGGCGGAGTTCGCGGAGTGTCGTTGGGCGGAGCTGGAGCCGTGCTACGTTCGTGTCAACGCGGCTGCTGGCTGGCAGTGCTTGTTGCCATCGCTGAAGGACTCGCTGGACCACTCATGGAGTGATCCGCGCGCGGGACCGCCAAGTACCACTATCAAGGGCTACACCGTTCAATGGGCAACTAACGTTGGCATCTGCATCTTGTGCTTAGCATGCGGGGCGGGCGGGTCCTGCTGCTCTTACATTGGCGGGTTTTGATACGTTCATGAGAATCGGAGAGCTTGTTGCGACGAAGCGTCGCGATGTCCATTCCTTGCAAGGCATGGCCGTGATTGCCACCCCCGCTAGCCAGACTAGGCAGCGCGCAGCTCGGCGAAGCGGTGGCGTTAAAGAACGGCATCAGCAGAAGGGTGTTGGCCCCTCGTTGTAAACCATCGGGGCCCGACGACCTGGCGTTGGGAGTCATGAGTGGTCAAGCCCGCTCAAGGCTCAATCAGACGTCGAACGCACTGTCGTTGCGAGGGCGAGGGGTCTCGAGCCCGAGACGGGGAGGAGCTACAGCGCACATCATTCGGCTTGGACCGATGGAGAGCACGCTGGTGAAAGCCAGTCTGGTCTGCTTCAAGGACGGCGCGGCTGTGCATCTCGCAGGGGACTGCAGATTTGGCGGCGCTGACGTTCTCCAGTGAGCAGGAGCAGCTGGTCTCAGCTGTTGCACGTTCGCGGGTGCCAGTATTGCCGCAGCTTCGGTGACGCCCCGCTCTATTGCGCGCCAGTTCCGCACTGTAGACTCGCCTGCGCCAGTCCAGACTTTCGTTGGTGATGAGACCACCAAATCTGGCACCATTCGTTGCAACAATCTGCTGTGTGCCAGTACCGTATTGTAGCCTCGCCTACGCCAGTCTAGCCTTTACGAGTGAACCACACGCATCGGTTTATTCAGGATGTGGCAACTTGGAAGGCCTGGAGTCCATGTTTGCGAGGCCTGCTTGCGAGGCCCAGCTGCCACGGGGCTGCTTGTGGCTGAGTCGGGATGGGGGGCCGAAGCGATTCGTCATGAAGGAACCTCGCGTCGTCGCCGTTACTGGCTGCACCCTGGTGGTTTCTCGAAAAGACCGCAAAGCAGTGGCGGCAGTGAGGGAAAGCCATCGTCGTGTTCATGTATGTGTCTGTATACATTCATATAAAAATGGCATGTTTCTCGATGTATATATCTCTCGATCTATGTTTGTTTATTATCCCTCTCTCTCTCGCTCGCTCGCTCGCTCGCTCTCTGTCTCTGTCTCTTTTTTTCTCTCTCTCTCTCTCTCTCTCTCTCTCCTCTTTCCCACAGCAGTATGGTATTGAATGCCTGGGCCTTTGCTGGTGTCACGTCGTTTTTTTTCCTGTTGCTCCTGGCGGCTAGACTCTTTCCTGGATCTCTAGGAGACGAGGGGACATTGTAAATGAGAGCACGGGAGAGGAGGCGGGCTACAGGAGAATGGGAAGGGTAGAAGGGAAGAGTGGGGGAGGAGGCGGGGGAGAAAAAGAGAGGATTAGCAACCAGTGCTTCCTTCAAGCCGAAAAAACAAAAGATCTGGTGGGAAACAGTTAGAGAACCCGTTTCTCCCTTCGTTCCCTTCCGTCTCTCCTTTCCTCCTTCTCCCTCATCCCGGAGGTCCTCAGAACACGGGGCGCTTCGGCCATGCGGCGCTGGGCAACAGTGCCAGGCCAGAGCTGGGCAACGCCAGCGGCGGGACATCACAGGCCCAGGGCCAAGAAGTTGCCCCTACCCCCCAAACCCTTCACTTTAACGCCCCCCTTGCTCCCTTCTTCCCTTTCGTGTTCCCCCACCCCCTCCCACTTCCATCCTCCCATCTCCCCTCCCCGCCCTCCATCCATCCATCTCCGCCTATCTTCCCCTCCCACCCGTCTGCTTGTCCCTTCCCCCACCCCTCTCCCCCATCTTTTCATCTCCTCCCCGCCCCTCACCATACACCTCCCTTCCCTCCCCCCTCTCCCACCCCCCACCCTCCCTCCCGCCCGGAGGGGGGAGGGGAGAGAAGGGCGCAGGAGAGTGCGTGCAGGCGCGGGGCAAATGCCGATCCAATGAATCCTCGCACCCTGTCCATCTTCCCAGTTGCCCATTCCCGCTCATTTTCTTCCCGTCCCCATCCACACTTGCTCAATCTGAGTACGGCCCCTCTCTCGATCTTAGTTCCGTACCGGCAGGACGCATTTTCTCCCGCACACGATTTTTGGGCACAGGATTTGAACGAAGATGAATGCATCAGATTCCCAACCATCCTGTGGTATTGGGTCCTCGTTTTGAAGAGACAGCGACAGCGTCCTTCCTCCTCCTCTCCTCTCCTCCTTCCTCCATCCGCCCACCCCTGCCTCTGCCTTCCGCATGTTCATTTAGGCACACTCCTCATTCCGTGCCCCAATGAGGATCTCCACTTGAGGCCCCAGCTGCTGCGTTCGCATACAGTTCCACCACCAATGCGGCACACGCCGCACAGGTTTCGTGGCTCCACAGAAGGCCCCAGCGGCAGGGTTCGCATGCAGTTCCGCCTCCCACTTCAGCACACAACTCACACGCTTCGTGACCCCTTAAGGAGGGCCGCAGCGGCTGCGCTCGCATGCAGTTCCGCCCCAGATCTCGACACACCCACACACACACACACACACACACACACACACACGCACACACACGCACGCACGCACGCACGCACGCACGCACACGCACGCACACTCACGCACACTCACGCACACACGCACACACGCACACTCACGCACACACGCACACACGCACAGACGCACACACACACACACACACAGACACACACACACACACACACACACACACACACACACACACCGACACCGACACCGACACCGACACCGACACCGACACCGACACCGACACCGACACCGACACCGACACACACACACACACACACACACACACACACACACACACGCACACACACACACAAAAAAAAAAAAACATCACACGTTTCGTCGTGGCCCCACAAGGAGCTCCACCGAAGGCCGCAGTGGCAGGGTTCGCATTCGATTCCACCCAAATTTCTGCGCACCCCTCACACGTTTCGCGGCCTCATACGGAGCTTCGCCGAAGACGTTATTTAATCGCTTCGCTCATTCCGCCGGCCCTGGAGCCCTCTTTAGGGCCTCTTGGGGGCCTCTTGGGGACCTCTGGGCAGTCTCTTGGGGCTCCTTGGCGGCATCTTGGGGGCCCCCAGGGCCTCTTGGGGGGCTCTTGGGGGCCTCTTGGGGCGGGAGGGGGGGGGGTAGTCGATTGCGGCTCCCCCCTCGGAGGCCACGATCCTCGTGAGGGGTGTCGAAAATGGCCCTCCCCTGGAGTGCTCTGGGGGGCTTCTCCCGGGACCTTGCCGGGGTACTTTTCCTCCGGGGACCCCCAGGGGCCGCCCCGCGCGCGCGAACTAGAAACATTGTGAACCAGTTACCGGAGATTTTAGCACGCCTCTGGCCCGTTGGGCCAGCGAATTCACAAATGCTGCACTCACGACTGCATATGGTTGGGTCCTTCGCCAGGACAGCTGTTTTCGCGATCTCGGTCGGAACGTTGAGACGGTGCCCACGCTTCGTCGTTGGCTTCAGCTCATTCCCGTCTCCCCTCTTCTTCCCCATCCACAATTGTTCAATCTGAGTACTACTTTCCTCTCTACCCGAATTGCGTACGAGCGGGGCCCCTTTGCTCCAGCATCTGTTCCTAGCGCATAAATTGGAACACGACAACCCAGTCGGATTGCGTGTTCAATCGGAACCGTTGATATTGTTTCAGTACCCACCGGTCGTTGAAAGTAGGTATTTTGGGATTCCCAGTTTCCAATCTACTTTCAGCGCCTTCCTACTTCAAGAGTGGAGTGGTTTTCCCTCTTCCTTCCTCTTCAGGAGGCGGGCGGAAACCCAATCTATTTCCAACGCCTTCCTACTTTGTGTTTCTACCTACTTCTTCCGACCGATGGGTATGGTGCTCCCGCTGCACCGCTAGCCTCAGCTCAGGATCGGCAGTTTGCTCCAGTCGTTCGGCATGGCGCCCACGCCCATGCGCGGGCCACGCTTTGTGATCCGAGCCCTTCCTCGCCGCTGCCGCCCCCCTCCTTTTTCCGTCCTCCGCCTTGCCATGGTCTCCCTGCTGCTCACAAGCCTCCTCTCTCGTGCTGCTGCACCTCCTCCCCCTCTTTTCTCATCGGTTTCTCCTTCCTCCTGCTCATCCGCATTCCCATCCGACGCTTCCCCTTGAAATGTACGGAGCTGCGCTGCCCCTTCTGTTCGTGCGTCGCGCGATGGGGTCCCTTTGGGCGCCCATGCCCGCCAAGACACCAATCGGAGGACACAGAAGCATCAGCGCAATGGGAAGGGACGAGGTGGGAGGGCTCTTACTCTCTCTCTCTCTCTCTCTCTCTCTATCTCTCTCCGCTCTCTTCTCCTCTGCGTCCTTCCTCGTTTCCCCCATCCTCATCCCCCCATCCCTTCTCCCTCCTCCCCGAGCCGGGTCAAAAAGTAGCCGCGCAGAGTTTGCGCGATGGAGGTTGTCTGAAGCCCTCTGAATCTGGGTTGGGTCAGCAAATGAGGGCCAGAGGAGCCACAGGAGGCGGAAGAGGGGAGGAGGAGGAGGAGGAGGAGGAGGAGGAGGAGGAGGAGGAGGAGGAGGAGGAGGAGGAGGAGGAGGAGCGCGAGTGAATGAGATCCACAGATGGAGAGGAGGCGAAGGCACAAGTTCGTTGCCGTGGCAGACGTGACTGTGTTCATTGGTCTATGGGCTCCCAGACCGGCATGACTTGTCGCCAGGGTCAGTTGGGCTCCCCGGTCGGTCGCATCGCGTCGCCAAGGCATCGATTGCCCCAGCCTCGGCGACGCGGTGCAGTCTGAGAGCCTCGCTCACTGCGGCCCCACTTACATGGGGGGGTCTGGAAATGGCCTCGCCTTCGAGGGATGTAGAAGTTGACAGTTATTCATCGGCCGAAGGCGGCGGAAGGTCGGCAGAACGCGGCGGAAGTAAAACTAGGGCGCTTCCGCCAGCGGAAGGCCGGCGAAAGCTGGCGGAAGTGAAAGATGCGCCCCAAAGAAATCGCAATCTTGTTGGGTTCAGGGTTTCTGGAACCCGCCACATGCAAGCCGAAGGAGGCATTCTCCAGTTGTCTGTTTCACACGGTGGGCGTTTCTCCTGGCTGGCCAAGGGAGTGACGCAGGAGGCAGGCATCCTCGTTGCTTCTGCCTCGCTGTCGCATGTCTTGCCCGGGGGCGGCGCAGGGCATGGCTGCGCTGCCAGCTCCGGAGCAAGTGCTGGAGCAGGTCGACCTGGACGCGGATTGGGAATCGAGGTACAAGTACTCCAAGCAGACGAGCGAGGGAGGTGCGCCCTGCGCCGTGCCCCGCCTCCCCCCCCCCCCATCTGCCCTCCCTCCTCGCTCCCCTTCTCCCTCCCCCTTCGGGGGTGGACAGACCTCCTATCCTGACACGTCGATTAAGGAATTGGCCGTTTTCGTTCCGCGAGAGGGCGTCGCGGCCGTCCTTTTTGCGGGTCCAGGTCCGTCGGTTTCGGTCCCAGGCCGAATTTGGCTAAGGGGAGGTCTACTAAAGGGAGGTTTGTCCACCGCCGACCCCTCTCTTCATCTTTCGCTTCGGTCGGTCCCTCGATCGCTGCCGCCCAGCTCTAAGGGGAGAAGAGGCCAGACGTCAGCCCATGTCCCCCCCCCAGATCTCGGGTGGACACGCGTCCGACGTGGACGGGCAGAACGAGGACGAGGAGGACAGTGGGGAGGGAGGAGCAGGTGGAGGCCGAGGGGGGGGAGGGGGACTTTCTCTAGTCTCGCTTCGTGCGACAATCTAAGCCGCGGACGCGTTGTCCGCCAGCAGCTGACCCCCTTGCTCCGCTGGGGGCGTCGCCGATGCCAGCGCGGCGCCGCCGCACTCCGCCCCTGCGAGCTCCTGTCTGAGCTCAGAGGGGGAGAAGGGTCACCAAACGCACTCTGCGGGGCGAGGGTGTTGTTTGTAAGCCAGTGTTCTGCCTGGGCCCCGGAGGGGCGATGATGATGATGATGATGATGATGATGATGATGATGATGATGATGATGATGATGATGATGATGATGATGATGATGATGATGATGATGATGATGTGATGATGGTGGTGATGATGATGATGATGATGATGATGATGGTGTGGTGGTGGTGGTGATGATGATGATGATGATGTGATGATGATGATGATGATCATGATGATCATGATGATCCTGACGATGATGATGATGATGATGATGATGGTGCTGATGGTGATGATGATCATGATGATGATCATGATGATGATGATGATGATGATGATGGTGCTGATGATGGTGATGATGATGATGATGATGATGATGATGATGATGATGATGCTGATGGTGCTGATGATGATGATGATGATGATGATGATGATGATGATGATGATGATGATGATGATGATGATGATGATGATGATGATGATGATGATGATGATGATGGATGAGACCGCGTGGCAGCGGGGGGCGTCGCCCCGGTAATCCAGTGCGCCCCGCCTTCAAATCAGTGTTTGGGCAGCCGTCTCGGGGAAGTCTTGCAGCCCCTTGGAGGCCTGATCGAAATTGTCCTGAGCAGTGTTGGACTCTCTTGTCAGGCAGTCTCGAGATACCGGAAACCAGCTTGGAGCGTATTCGGGCATCTTGGTGTGGACCTAACCCCGCACGCCCCCCCCCACTCCACCCCACCGCCCGTACAGACCCAGGGAAGGGGTTTCCTCTAACAAGGCGGGTGGATCCCTGCAGTCGACTGGCGGCCAGAAAGCCGTCGTGGGATGGACTCGAAGACGGCCCGAGATGCCGCCAAAACGGTCCCAGACGGCCAGTTGGCTGGACAAGGCCATAGACAAGACAGGCCAAGACTCGACAAGGGGAGACAAAATGGGTGAAGACACGCCAAGATAGCCTCCAGGTCGGCCAAAGACGCCGCCAAGAGGGATCCCAAGAGGCAACATGTTGACAAAGACCTACAGAAGATCGCCCCAAGACGCCGCCACGAGGGCTCCCGAGAGGCAACAACCATAGAACTACACGCAGGAAAGCAATGATGGTTGCCGTCGACGCCTTGTTGCTTCCGAAGGGCTCTTGAGGCTTCGAGCAGGCCTCAAAGTGTCCCCACTGACTTCCAACAACGCCCCAGTGCCACCCCGAAAGGGCTTCGAAGGAGCTCCACGGAACCGTTCAAATCCTCATCAAAGATGTCATCTGCGTCTCGTCCTTCACTCCGGCGGTGACCAGGTGCGGCCACTGCGCCATGTGGCCAGCCACATCCAGCTCAGAGGCCAGGGAAGATGTGTTGCGACGTGGTGTAGGGAAAGGGGGAACCCCCTCCCCGAAGGGAAAGCGGGGGGGGGGGGCTGGAAGAGGACGCGGTCTAAACATCATGCGCCCAGAGGGATGTTGGGATTTCTTTCTTCTATGTTCCTCCTCCGCCTTCTCCCCCTCCTCCCGCCCCCTCCCCCCCCCGCTCACAAGGTGAAGTTTCGGCAAGGGGGGGGGCGCCCTTGGCTTTGCGGGCCCAGGATTCTTTGAGCCAGAGGGGAGTGAACGAAGGAGGAGAAGGAAGAGGTGGAGAAGGAAAAGGAGGAGGAGGAGGAGGAGGAGGAGAAGCAGGATGAGAGGAGGACAAGGAGAAGGAGGAGGAGGAGAAAGAGGAGGAGAGGAGAGGAGAGAGGGAGAGGGAGAGGAGAGGAGAGGAGAGAGGAGAGAGAGAGGAGAGAGGAGAGGAGAGAGGAGAGAGGAGAGAGGAGAGAGGAGAGAGGAGAGGAGAGAGAGAGAGGAGAGAGGAGAGGAGAGGAGAGAGGAGAGGAGGGGAGAGAGGAGATGAGAGGAAAGGGGGAGGAGAGGCAAGTGATGAGGATACGGGTGGAGGATGTAGTCGGAGGGGAGGGGGAAGAAGGAGGAGGAGGAGGAGGAATACATATATATATATATATATATATATATATATTGGGAGAAGGGGGGCGAATGATCGAGGAGGGAGTGGTTGGATGACGAGGAGAGGAGAGGCGACCGACCCAGTGAGCCGCCAGCGTCAGCAAGGGGAAGCTGGGGAAGGAGGCGAGGAGAGGAGGAAGGGGGGAGGCGAGGAGAGGCGAGAAGAGGAAGAGGCGAGGGGGGAGGAGAGGCGAGGAAGAGGACGAGGCGAGGAAGAGGGGGGGAGGAGGCGAGGAGAGGCGAGGAAGAGGGGGGGACCCCACCAGGGGGGGGGGAAAGGGGAGGAGGGCCGGGAGGGGGAGGGGCGCAGGGCGCGGCGGCCCTCCCCAGTGCTGGGGCCCCCCTCCCAGGCGCGAGGGACTCCTACCAGACGGAGGGGTCCGAGGTGTTCCAGGCCTGAGTGTTCGGGGGCGCCGGGGCTGCGCGCCAAGCACGCAGACCCGCGGAGGCAAGCGGCCAGAGGAGGAGCGGGCACCGATATGCCGCTGCCCTTGCCTCGCGCTCTCGCCGTCTTGGGGGCCTCCCTTGGAGCCCCGCGTCGCCACGGCAGGATTCGCCTCGAGATGCTGGTCCGGACGCGCCTCGGGAGAGGTCTGTGCAGCGGCGTCGGTCATGCTCGCCCCCCCTGGATGGAGGTAGACAGGGAGAGGGCTGGAAGGGGGGCGGCGGCGGCAACGGCAGCAGCACAAGGAGAAAGAAGGAGAGGGAAGAGGAGCAGCAGCGGGACTGAGTCAAGGACAGACGGGGAGCAGCGGCATCAGCAGCATAGGGAGGAGGATGGCAGAGGATGCGGAGTTGTGGATTGGGCCGTCCCATGGACTTGACGGCGCGGTGCCCCGCTCCAGCGACTGAGCAGTGCAAGCAAGACCTTGGCCCTCCCCCCTCCGATGCCCGTCGCCTGTGCTGCAGCCGCGGCTGTCCCGTACGCAACATGAGCGGTAGCTGGCCTAACTCCATCCCAGGTTCGCCCTTCTCCTCCTCTCCCTCCCCCGTTCTCCCTCTTGCGCTGCCTTGACGTTGATCAGCTAGGACTGTGGCGCATTTCTCTTCCTCACACTCCACATCATCGTCGTCCTTCTCCTCCTCTGTTCCTCCTCTCTCTCCCCTTCTCCCTCTTGCGCTGCCCAGACGTTGATCAGCTAGGACCGCCGCGTCTTCCTCTTCCTCCCCCTCCACATCATCGTCCTTCTCCTGCTCTGCCCCCCCACCCCACTGCCCACAAGCCACGTCCTCCGTACAGTAGGCGCACCAAATGAGAGACTGGCATGCCAGCAGGTGCTCCACAGAAGTCTCGTTATACCCCAATGGCTTTTGGGACCCACAGAAGCTGTGGCGCACATGAGGATCCTCAAAGATCGAGGAAGAATGTGCCCCCCAATATGTTATGGCAAAGGTTATGATCGGAAATGCCCCTTGTGCGGTCAGGAACTTTGGCTTAGCGTGTCGCTCCGCCGGTTCTGGCTCACCACGCTTCGGCGCGACATGATCCGTTTTTCCATTCCCCAGGCGTCCGCGTCCGAGCTGTTCCCAGCCTGCCACCCCGCGGAGTGGAGCGAGACGCTATCCGCTCGCAGGGCATAGCGTGTCGCCGGGGCCGCCGCGGCAACGCGCTGTGCAAAAGTTCCCGGCCGTAGGACCCTCAAAGATCGACGAAGCATGTGCCCCAAGAGTTTTGATACGTAGCAAGATGTCTTGTCGTATGTGTCCACTCTATCTACGGCAGCACAACCCACCCCCCACCCCAAGCCAGGACCCCAAATGCCGACCTGGTGATCCAGTGGGCCCTGGTCGGGGGTGAGGGTGGGTTTTGTTGGCCCCCAGGAGCCCCACAAAGCCACCCCCGCCGCCCTCAGCCAGGACCCCCTGGATCACCAGGTCGGGATTGGGGGTCCTCTCCCCCGCCTCCGTGCGCCCCCCCATCCCGGAAAGCACCTGATCAGCCGCCCCCCTTCCCCTTGCGGCTCGAGACCACATCCGGATAGACCGCATGCTGCAATCGTTTCGGTGGTTGCTAAAAGTGCCCCTGGCCCAAGGTGCCCCCAGCTCTTCGATCCATTTTGGAGCCCCTGGGGAGCCGCTGGGCCTCGTGAGGGGTGCTCTGGAGGCCAAGGGAGCCTCCCTGGGGGCACCTCGGGCCCCAGACCCCCGACGTCATGATTTTTTTTCATGGCGCGACCCCAAAGGTCTGGACCCATTCCCCGGGACAGGGTTTCCATCCTGAGTGGGTTTTTGGCGGTCCCGAGGGCCCGTAAGTGCCCCCGGAGGCCGAAAATAGCGTAAAAAAATTGTCCGCTGTGATTTCTTCATGACCCGAGGGGGTCTGGGAACACCCCATCTTCTTGTCTGCGAGTACAGTCGCTGGGCGCGCGCCCGATGGCGCGGGCTTCGGCCCGCGGAGCCGCGCGCCCCGCGTCGCCACCGGAGGGCACCCGGAGGGGCGCGCGCCCCGAGAGGCCGCACGGTGCGCCCCGCGGCAGAGCTCGGCCGCGCGGGCGAGCGGCCGAGCTGGCGGCCGCGCTGCTGCTGGCGCTGGGGTCGCCGGCGGGCGCCACCTCCATGCGCGAGGCTCGCCACGGTCGAGCGGAGTGGAGACCCATGCCAAGAAACACCCTGCTTGCCTCCAGGGTGCCCTGGGTTTCCTTGGGGTTCGATGTTCTCGCTATGGGCAGCGTGACGCTTCCACGCCAAGAATCAGTGGACGCCCTGGGGTCCCAGGGTTGGATTTCCTGTGAAAGGCTTCTTGTGGACTGGCCTCCACTGCACACGTAAGAGTGACCCTTCGCCCGAGTGACCTTTGGTGCGAGCTCATTGTGTGGAAGATGGTGCAGGCCTGGTCGGTGGCAACGCCAACATCTATCCTCCTATCGCCTCACTGCGCGCTGCCCTCAAGGCGCACGCGCCTCTGGGGGGCATCCCGACTCATAGTGCGGGCTCTGTCCCCCAGGGGGTGGGTGTACGGTAGGTTCGCGTCGTGTCGACCAGCGGCGACCCCAGCGCGGGCGTTCAAGGTTGAACGCCGCCGGCGACCCAGAATCGATCGATGTTGAACGATCGGACGTTGCGGCAGCGGCCGATCGTTCAAGGTTGAACGATCCCTGCGGTGTCAAAAACCAACGCTGGGGTCGGCACGACACGAACCTGCCGTAGCAGTTTGGCCCTATGGTACGTCCATCCCTCTCACACAGTGGGGCCCCCCGATCGCCGAATGCGATGCGAGAGCAGCGGCCTGCGCGCTTGGGTGTGGGGCCCCCTCGCGCCCCCCCTGAAGCCGCGCACCACAGGTCACTCTCCTCCTCCTCCTCCTCCTCCTCCTCTTCCTCCTCCTCCTCCTCCTCCTCCTCCTCCTCCTCCTCCTCCTCATCCTCCTCCTCACTCTTACGTGCAGCCGACATGGGGGGAACGGGTTCTGAGGGGAAAGGATCCTGTGCTTTTTTGCCAGTTTCGGGCTGGGGCTGGCAGAGAGCGGCTCCGGGAGGAGATCTCTCGTCCTGGGGGGAGGCCTTGGGGTCCAGGACCCGTTTCCTTCAGGACTTTTTTCCCCCATGCTAACAGGCTCTAGGCTTCCCAGATGGGGTCGGAGCAGATGGAGTCGGAGGGTCGCGCCGCGTCGCCGACGCATCGGCGATGCCACGCGGTGTGGAGTCCGCTCTTCTCCACGCCGACGGCGCCGACGCACCGCCCACGTCGCCGGCGCATCGCCGAGGCATGGGCGATGCATCGGCGGTGCGGCGAGAGCCTCCGACCCCCCCCTGCTCAGACGTCAGTGAGGAGGCCTCCAGAGGCGTCCCGGGGGGCCGGGGCCTCGCCGGGCGCCCTGCTGCAGGAGCTCGAGGAAGAAAAAAGCACGCATATCGGCACAGACGGCCGGAGCTCCGCGCGGAGTTCTGGGGGGGTCCGCCCGGGGTTCCTGGAAGGTTGTCTTTTGGCGCACTCGGCTCCTCGAGGAACGACTGGAGAGCCTGCAGCGGCGCGAGTGCCTCGCCCGGGAGGAGATGGCCACCAGGATCTACCCGATCGAGAAGCATCCCGTGGAGTCGTACGTCGTGCGCCGCTCCCTCCCGGCCACGAGCGTCGGCGACGTGCACCTCAAGGTGGGAGACGTGCAGCTGACCAGGGTCGTCGCGACCGTCACGCTGGCGCGCAAGAGCGACAGCGTCTTCTCGTTTGGGCTCCACGGCGATGGCGGCGCGGCGATGGCCATGGTAGAGGGCTTTTTGGACAAGGTCGATTTTGTGCTGCCCGAGTCCGCCTACGAGGGACTCGCCAAGGGGTTTTCGTCTGTGGAGAACTGGTTCGGGACCCTGGGCGGACTCGTTGATGGCGACTACGGCCAGATCGAGAAGTTAAAGGTATCGGCCAACATCTCCATGTCTGGGGACGTCAGGACCGACGAGCGCGGGAAGTGGGAGCTTGAGCCAGACACACAGACGAGCAAGGCCAAGTTCGACATCGGGTCGGGTGGCCTGGTGCTGTCGATCATAAACTCGATCATGGCAGGATCGGGGGGCAAGGCTGCTGAGGAGGCGATCTTTGACCTGCTGTGGCCGCAGGTGTTGGAGCTCCTGCCCGCATGGGCCGGAGTCGCGCTCGGCACCGTGCCCAAGTCCGAGGGCAACGTGGAGCACAAGATCGAGTTCGATGCTTGGTGCGAGAGCCCCAAAGGGCGGCTGTGCCCAGCCCACCTCATGCAGCTGAAGGGCACGATGAAGAGCACGGCGCACGTGCTGGCGAAGCCAGTCTTGCAAAAGTTGGCCGAGCAGGGCGACGCGGGCGTGCTGAGCGCCGTCGCGGACGCGTACAGAGAGAGCGACGCCGTGGTCGGCGGACTGAAGGGCGAGTTCACCGTGGACCTCGGGCTGTCCAAGGAGCACGCACTGTCCCTCCGCGCGCGCCCCAACCTGGACGTGCCCTTGAGGCTGCTCCAGGCTCTGGGCCCCGATGTCAGGCCAGAGGACTTCCTGCCCGGGTCGGGCAGGCTCTCCCTCCAGGCTGGCCGCCTCGACGTGCGCGACGGCGTGATCCAGCTTCCACAGATTCGCGTGGACAACGCCCATCTGCCCATAGGTGCTGGAAAGGACACCATCGAGATAAGGGGGGCCCTGGAGGAGTTCACGGTAGAGCTGGTGGACCCCACAGGGTGCAAGCCGAAGCCGAGCGGGGAGAACGCTTCGGAAGTCTTCGACCAGTTGTGCGGGCTGGTGGGCGAGGGCGCGCCGCTGACCGTCAGCGCGCCGGGCGTGACGCTTGGCATGGACCGTGTGAGCGGGGTCCAGCTGGAACCTTGGGGTGGCGGCGACACGTTCACGGCGACCTACGCCTCGAAGGGCGTGTCCGAATTTCTGGAGGAGGTAGACGACAGGCTTGCCATGCCCTCAAACGTCCGCACCGCTCCTCCTGACAGCGGTGACGGCGTGGTGCCACCCCAGTTCCAGCGCCCGCATGACCGCGCGCTGCCGACATGGGATGTTGGGTCTCTGCTGCGACACGTAAACGTAAGTTTTGGCGGCAGCGTGACGACTGTCACCACTGAAGGGTCCGAGTTGGTAGAGGTCACCGTCTCCGCCGACGTGGCAGGCAGCTTCTTCCTCGGCCCCTCGGTGCTCCGGGCCGCGCTGGACGGGGCCGACAACGACCTCGGTTACATGCACCTTGTGGCGGGCGGGTGGTATGGCACTGGGCCGGGCAGGGGCGGGTCAGGCTCCAGCCCCGACCAGGCGGCCCTCGTGCGCTTGTCCTGCGGCGGGCTGGAGCTCTACAAGGTCAGCCCAGGAGGCAGACCTTACGCGGCGCTGCCGCACATCACTTTGGATCTGGCCAAGGACGAGGACTGGCAGATGCTGGGCGCGGGGGAGCCAGAGGAGTTCCAACAGATGCTGTGCTTCAAAGTGAAGGTGACGGGCGGCTTGATTTGTTCAATGTGGGGCCCCCAGAAGTCTCGACCCCTCCCGGGGACCGGCTTTCCCCCTCGGTTCGACTCACGACGGTCTCGGGGCCCCAGCGAGGGTCCCTAGAGGCCGAGGACGGCGAAATACCTGCAGTCTGATTTCCATGCTGGCTTCGAAGCGGAGGCGACGGACGGCTTCCTGTTCTTCTCGAGCGGCGCGGAGCACTTCTTCTGCCCGGCCTCGCGGCCCCTCGGGCGGAGCCTGGAGGCTGCCCTGAAGCTGCAGCGGGGGCGGCTGGAGGCGGCCCGCGCGCAGACGGCGTCGTGCGAGGGCGACCGCGGCGCCTGCCCCGCGCGGCCCGACGGCGCTCGAGGAAGGAGCAACAGCGGCACGAGCACACGGTCGGGAGCTTGGGCTCGGCGTGCGGAGCCGCCGGTCCTGGCCCAAAACGCTTCGGCTCGACGCGCTGATCAAAGGGGCTGGACCCAAGCGCTGTTTTGCTGGATCTCGGCTGTGTCTTGTTTTTGCTCGTTCTGGGATGGGGGGTGCAGGAAAACAGGTGGAGCAGAACGAAAAGCAGCACGAAAACAAAACGAAATACAACGTTTAGGTCCAGCCCTGCTGCCCACGTCCCAGTCACTAAGCGCCCACGTCCTGGGGCTCTCCCGGCCCCCCGCCCCGCGGAGCCGAGCGGCACGCTAGTTGTCCGCTCGCAGGGCACAGCGTGTCGCTGGGGCCGCCGCCGCGATGCTCCAAGCAAGAGCCCCCGACCGTACAGTGGAGACCCATGCCAAGAAACACCCTGCTTGCCTCCAGGGTGCCTTGGGTTTCTTGGGTCTCGATGTTATTGCCATGGAAAGCGTGACGTTCCCACACCAAAGACCGATGGACGTCCTGGGGTCTCAGGGTTGGGTTTCTTGTGGAAGCTTTCTTGCGGACTGGTCTCCACTGTACACGTTCGCAGCTCCGCGCGGAGTTCATGGATCGGTGCTGGCCCCCCCCCCCCGTGCGGCGCCTGGCGGCAGCGCCCCTCGGCGTGCTCCGCGCGCCCAGGAGGGGGAGCCTCAGCGCTGCTCCGAGGCATCCGCGCGGAGCTCCGAGAGGTTATCGTTGTGCCGCCGTGTCTTCTTCCAGGCACGTGGTTCAAGCCGAGCGAGGTCTACGACCGCACCACCTGGCAGCCCCAGTTCAAGGCGCCCGGCGACCCCGCGATGGAGAGGTCGCCGAACGAGCAGTGGCTGCGGGGGGGGGGAGGGGGGCGAAGGAAGGAGAGGGTGCCCGCGCCGCCCCCTGCAGGGAAGAGGGGGTGGGGGGGTGGGAGAGGGGGGCGGGGGGCGAAATTAAACAGGAAAACCGTAGATCGACGGGGGAACTGGGAAGGGGGGGTGGGGGAGGAGGGGCAGGAAGGAGGGGGGGAGCGGAATCGCACGTCGTGGTGGCCATCATCTCCTCCCCAGAGAGGCGCTCGCGCCGACGCAGGCTCTCCAGCCGCTCCTTCGGAAGCGTAAATTGTCGGAGCTCCGCGTGGACTTCTCGAATCGGCTCTGGGATTCCTCTGACCCGATTCGATTCGGTTTCTACCGATTCCGATTACGATTCGATTACACTTCGGATCACGATTTGGATGTCGGTTTATCAGCGAAGGCTTCACAAACCTGCCGGGTTCCGCCGATTAGATTTCTCCCGACTTGGCTGCAAAAGTTCAGGTTTACGCGTGTCTTCTTCCCCTAAGGAAGGAGTGCGGCGAGTTGCGCAGGAAGAGGTGAGGGTGAGGAGAAGCGCCTTGATGTGTTTTGTTCGGACGCTCGATCTCCAGAGTCGAATCTCGACGTTCGCTGCCGAGGCGTGGCGCAGCGGACCCCAAGGGGCACGGTTCGGTGTCGGACTTTCTGGTTCAGGCCGTTGTTGGACTATTTGGGTGTTTTTGGTTTCAATTGGACTTCGAGTGTGTGTAGGAGATGGTGGAAGAGAGAGAGAGAGAGAGAGAGAGGCACTGGAGGAGGAGGAGGAGGAGGAAGAAGAAGAAGAAGAGGAGGAGGAGAAGGACCAGAGTAAACCAAAGCTGCATAAGCGATGCTGCAATACACCCTCCCGTCCCAAGTTCCCTTCCCAGGCGCCCCTAATTACAAGTCCTCCTTTTCACTTCAAGAAGCGCCTTTTGAACATCCAGTACAGTTGGGCTTGCCATTTTGGCGAGGGCCCCAAAAGGGACTGCCCCGCATCTTTCTAGCGCTTAGCCAGGACCGCTAAAAGCAAGTGTCATACATTTCCACGGGGTGTCAAGAGACAGCCCCCTCTCGAAAAGGGACCGCTCCCCATCCGTGTAACGGTTGCACGAGTTGGCCCTTGTGGTCGTCAGTTTCGAGGAAGTCCCCAGCGAAAGCTGCAGTTCGGAAAAAACAAAAAAAAAAAAAAAACGCCATGGATCCGTGCAGCTCTGCGTGCGTTGACGTGTCGGGCCCTTGAACTCCACGAGGCCCCGGGCGAGAATCTCACTTCTGAGAGAGCGACCGGTCCCCCATCCTGCCCGGCGTTGCATGCGGAAGGATGCGCGCGGCGCCGGGGCGAGAGCTCCATTCTGGCAAGGAGCTGCCGTCCATCTGCCAGGCGAGTGCGAACTTGTGTCACTCACGTGCGCGGCGCTGGGGCAAGAGCCACACGTTAATAGCCGCCCCTTCCGTCAGTGCAGCTGCTGCACACGCTCGAGGCGAACGCGCGCAGCGCCGAGGCGAGAGCCGCACTCTGAGAACGACCCCCCTCCCTCCGCGAAGCTGTGGCAATCTTTCGGTGCGAATGCGCGCGGCGCCAGGGCGAGAGCCACTTTCTGAAACGGGACCGCCCTCCGGCCGTGAAGGCTTCTCATGTTTTACCCTGGTGAAGTTGTACCGGTACGCACCCCAGCAAACTGGCACATGCCCGGTGGCACCGAGGAGTGTACCTGTTTGCGAGCGCTCCTTTGGTGAATGTCTCGAACAGGGTCGTCCTGCAAGGGTCTGGGAACGAAGCCGGTCGGCTCGCCGCCCTTCGGCTGCCCGTCAGAGAGGTCCTGCCCAGGGTCGCTCGCTGCGTCTGGCCGAGGATTCCTCGACGACGACGGCGATGACGACGCCGACGACGACGCCGACGACGGCGAGGATGACGATCGCCATCGTCGTCGGCGTCGGCGTCGTCGTCGTCGTCGTCGTCGGCCTGCATCCCGGTCGAGGTGCAGAGGGGCCGTCCTTGTGCCCTCCCAGGCTGCACGCCGCCTCCGCGCTCGGCCTGGCGTGAGGTGGTCCTCGCCGCAGCCTGCCCGCGCGGCGCCGCGGCCGCGGCCGCGGCGGGGGCCGGGCCCTCTTCGGCCGGGCCGCGCGCCGGGGGCTGCGCGGAGGCGTGGGCTGCGGACTCTTTTGCACCTCGGCCGCGGTGCTGGCTCGCGCCCTTTGGAGAGGGAGAGGGAGGGAGGGGGAGCGAGAGAGAGAGAGAGAGGGGGACAAAAAAAAAAGACAGAGAGAGTGAGAGAGAAAGAGAGGGAGAGAGAGAGCAGACAGGATAATATCCGCGCACGTCGGCGGTGCACTCGCAGAGTGGCGAAACGAGCCGTGCACGGCAGAGGTGCACTGGCAAGATGGTGAAGCAAGCCGCCATAGGACGGTTCCAGCGGCGTTGGCGGTGGGACAGGTGTGAAGCAACGGAAGTTGAGTACTCTCGCGTCATGGTCCTTGCGGGTCTCGAGACAAGCTTGCAAGCACCCGCAGGGCCAGGGCAGCGACCAGACGCGGGCGCGCGGGCACGGGGCGCTCTCTGGAGCGTCTGAAACACGACTGGTTGCTCGGAGTTTGGGGTGCGGGATGCCCGTTTCGGGCCCTGGGGTCCACACGAGGTAACCCAGGGCGCGAAGGTCATGCGAACGTCGGGGTCCTGAGCTCCAGAAGGCTCCAGAGATCTCCAGAGACCCACGATTGGAAAGATCTGGGCGGCCGATGACCTGGGAACGGGTGTGTCCGTAGCCCTTCTGCCCAGGCGCTCGGCTCTTCAGCGGGCTCGAGGTGTGGGCAGCCCGCGAGGGCCAGCCCACCCCCGCACCGCCGGCGGTGGCCGTGGACGAGGCTCCCTGTCTCGGCAGCTCCCGAGGCCACCGGAGCCCCATGAATCCTCTCCTCAACGGGGAGTCGGAGATCTCGTCGCTCTGGGGCAAGCTCTCGCGCTGCCTCGCGCTGGCGAGGAAGCCGGCTCCCAGGGAGGAGACGAGGCTCCGCGGCGCGATGTCCTCCGTGCTGGAGGGCATCCAGGGAGCCGCGAGCACCTTTGGCACCGTCGGCGACGTGGAAGCGCGACTGAAGAGCAGCCTGCGCGGCGGGCTGCTGCTGACCATGCTCTCGGACTCTTCGAACGCCTGCCTCGTGCTTGCGGCGCTGCTGGACGACTGGGCGGCAGCACCAGGAGCAGCAGCAGCGGTCGCCGCCGAAGAGCAGCTGCTGCAGGCGCCGAGCGGCCCGCGGGCCGCGCTGCGTGGGCAGTTGGCTCGCCTGGAGGCGCTGCGCGCCGCGCTGGCAGAGGAGCTGGCAGAACCTGAGGGCGCCGGGAGGCCCGTCTGGACGCCAGAGAGTTTGCTCGGGTGCGGTGCGCTGCGGTGGTTCTGGCGTGCACGCTTCGCGGGGCAGGTGCGGGCTCCCGTGGAGGGGCTGGCAGACGCCATATCCCACCAGTACGAGCCCCTCGACCTGGAGGAGAGGGCCGAGCTGGCTGCCTGGCTCCGCCCCAACGAGCAGGGCATGGTCAGCCTCGCGGACGCGGCCCTGCTGCTCGACGCCCCTGGCGTCTGGCGAGGCGCGCTGTTTGCCGCCTCTTGCGCGGAGCTCTGCCCCGCTGCGGTGGTGCAGGCGGTGGCGGCTGCGGGTGGGGACCGCCACTTGGGCATGACCGCGGCGGACATCGTCGAGGAGTCGCGGGAGAAGCGGCGGTGCGTTCTGCTGCCAGCATGGACTCGGGAGCAGTTGCGCGGCGATCGCGTGGCGCTGACTCTGCTGGGAGCCCTCGGCATGGAGGTGGCGCTCGACGTGCCCGGCGGAGCTGGCGGCCTCCTGGTGCAGTTCCCTTCCTCGGGCGTCCCGCGGCACCTCCTGCGGGCGGGCTCGGCACTGTCCAGGGCCGCGGCCGAGCTGCTGGGGCCTCGGGCAGCAGCCAGCCTCCCGGCCACGCAGGTCTCCGTGCCGCTGTGCGTCGCGAGCTTGGTGGCGCCCGCCCGCCGGAAGAAGCCGAGTGAGCGACACCTCATGCGGAGGAGGGCCAGTCTCGGAGGCCCGGAGGTTGGCACAACCACCAATACATGGGCGGAGTGCCTCCACCGAGGGAAGGTGGTCCCGCTCTCGGTGATGGTGTTAATGTATGGGCTTCCCCGGGTGGTCGAAATATTGTCACCAGCGTCGACATCTAGGATGTCTTCCTCCGGTGGAGGCCCCCCCCTTGTGCTGGTGCTGGTGTCCACTACCAAGGCCTGCAACAGTGGAGGCAGCGGCGGCCCTAGCGCCAGGCACAGCTCCGCTCCAACCTGGGCCCCAGGCCCCTCCGGGATTTCCTCCTGGCCCGTTCTGCGACGGACGCGCATCTGGCGTTGGCGACGAGAGGAGGAGGAGGAGGAGGAGGAGGAGGAGGAGGAGGAGGAGGAGGAGGAGGAGGAGCAGAGCGGCCCCTGGCAGGCCCGAGAAGGACGACGAACGCCAGGGAGGCATCTGGTAGTGCTTCGCTGCGCACGGACAGCCCTCCCCCAGGTAGCGCCAGCTGGCCTCAGCAGGGCCCCCGAGGAGCCCCAGCTGGGCTCAACGGGCCCCCCGATTGGCCCCGGGCGGTCTCAACAGCCCTGGAGGAGGCGGCGCCAGAGTTCTGAGGCCGCCCCAGACTGTTCGGGGTGCCTGCTGCGGCCGGCTGGGGCTACTCGAGGGGGGCCTGCTGAGGCCACCCGGGGCTGACCGCGATGGGTCTTCAGAACCCCCCCCCCCCCGATAGTGGAAACGAATGGTCTTGTTCGGCGTCCTGATTGACGGACTGGGGTCCCACCAATATCGGAAAATGATTATTTATCCGCGGCATCCGCCGCACAACGACGACGACGACGACGACGACGACGACGACGACGACGACGACGATTCTGATTACGACCATGATACTACCACGGTTACGGCTACGGCTACCACTACGACTACGAGTAGTTAGCGACCACGACTACGACTACGACAACGACTACGAGGGGTGGAGGAGTAGGAGGAGGAGGAGGAGGAGGAGGAGGAGGAAGAGGAGGAGCTGATTCCCCGCCGAAAAAAAACCAGGGGGGGCTTCAGAACTGAAGACCTCCCTCGCTTACGTGGCGGGGCTGTCTGCGCGCAACCCGCAGCCTTCCCAGAGGGGCCGCCGCTGTCTCGACAGGCCCTCCTCCGGCGCATTCTCTCGCGCCTGCACCGGCGCACGCGGCCCCTGCTCTCCGACCTGCTGGAGCTGCAGGCGGGCCTGCAAGGGAGCCGCAAGGCGCGGCTGGCCGCGCGGCTGGCGGCGCAGAGGGGCAGGCGCGAGGAGCAGTGCGCTCCACGCGGCTCGCCAGGGCTGGAGCGCAGCGAGCAGCGGTCGGTCCAGCACGGTAAGGCTTCGGGCTGCGTGCAGGCAGCCCCCCCCCCCCAGGTGGCGCCAGCTGGCCTCAGCAGGCCCTCCCGAGTAGCCCCAGCTGGCCTCAACAGGCCCCCAAGGTACGGTGCCCGGACAAAAAGTGTCCACACCCAGGGCGGCAAGACACTGCGACGTGATAACAACCGCAACAGCATGATCACTTGCCTCGCACCCCTCCCCCCAAAACCCAAAGTTGAAGTGTCCACATTTTGTCCCTAGCGCGCGGCCTGCCGCCTAACCCCGCCAACTTTGAGTTTGGGGAAAGGGGGGTATACATATTCGTTCGACGTGATTTGACGACGAGTTGTCTTGGCGCGACAAGTGTGGACACTTTTTGTCCGCCCCCAAGGTAGCCCAGGGTTGAGGTGTTGAGACTACTCTGGGGGCGGGTTGAGGCCAGTTGAGGCTGCTCGGGGGGCCTGTTGAGGCCAGCCCGGGCTGGTTGGGGGAGCTGCCTGCGCGCAACCCGAAGCCTTACCAGCCCAGCAGCTCGAGCACGCCGTCATCGTGGCGCAGCTGCGAGGTCATGAGCTCAAGGGGGGGGGGCCCTCGAACGGCTTTCTGGGGTTTTCATAAGTGCCCTCCTGTTTTCGGGACCTGGGGGTGGTCTCCATCATCTACGCCTCGTCGAGGGCGTTCCGGGGTTGCCGGGATCGTCCCAGACGGCCGGCAGAGGCCTGAGGTATGGCGCGAAAGCGAGACGACGAGGATCATTGGGAGGGATAGGCTCAGGAAGGGACGCATCGACCCACAATCGCCCCTTCATCGCCGACAGGGGCCCGATAGCCCAATCCGCCCAGGAGCGTGCGGATTCACCATCGTATCTCCGATTCCAGATCGTTGTTCCCCCCTGCGCCAGTCCCAACCCTCTGTCGATGCCCCTCAGGTAACGCTGCCGAGGAAGACGTCAGCGCCGCGGGGCCACAGCTGCCCGGGCTGCTGGAGGAAGCGGCAGCCGCAGAGGAGGACGCCGCGCTGCTGGCTGAGATCGGCTGGTGCATTCGACAGCGCGTCGCCATCCGACGCGGCCTGTCGCGGATAGAGGATGCGCTGCGTGTCCAGGACTCAGTGGGCCCCGGAAATGGCAGGGCTTTTTTGCTATTGTCAAGAAACTGCTTCTGCAGCATGAAAGCGGTTGACAAACTGCTCCCGGAAGCAGGGAAACGGCTCCAGGATTGGAACTGCAACCAGAACCAGCGCCGGCATTGGGGAAGTAAATTGCGCCAGAACCGGCAACAAAATTGCAGGAAGGAGCCGGTAAGCACACTGCCCTGTCGTTTCTATGCCCCACTAAGGTCGAAGAGGCCAGCGTGTCCAAGTCTTGGGCGCGGATCAAGCACGGCAGCGACGAGCTGGCAGGGCGCGTGGCGCGGGCGGAGCGGGAGCTCGCCGAGCTGGCCGCTGGCCTCGCAGCGAAGCGGGAGGCCGCCCGGGCGGAGGCGGACGCCGTTTGGGAGGCGCGGCTGGAGCTCGCCGAAGGCATGGTGTTGGTGGGCGCGGTGGAAGCCGGGGCCGCGAAGGCCGCGGAGGCGGCGCTGGAGGTTTCTAGGCCTCCCAAGTGGGCTCCGAGTGGGCGGGGTCGAAGGCTGGCGTCGCATCTCCGATGCATCGGCGATGCGGATCGATGCGGAGCCCGAGTTTCTCCACGCCGACGTCGCCAATGCATCGGCGGTGCGGCGCGATCCTCCGACCCCATCATCATCTTGGACCCAATCGGGGAGGCCTCCAAGGATGAGCTCCAGGTCCTGCGCTCGCGCTGCGAGGACCTCCACAGAAAGTGTTCGCGGGCCAAGGCCGCCGGGTCGCCGCGCAAGAGGCGCTGAGCGTGAGCTCGTCGTTGCCGCGCCCCCACGCGGAAAGGTGAGCATCTAAGGCAGACGTTTGTCCATAACCACAGCCTGGGACATCGTTCTTCGCGGACCTCGGCAGGCGGTTGATATAGACATATTCGGGCGCTGGGGCAGACAAATGTACCGACATCCACATTGCCTGTCGACGTCCTCGTAGAGGATCCCGCGGGCGGTGGCTACGGATACGGTCAGGAACTCTGGCTCAGCGTGTCGCTCCGCCGGTTCTGGCCCACAGCGCTTCGGCGCGACACGCTATCCATGTCATTGTTGCCAGGCGTCAGCGTCCCGATCCCTTCTTGACCTCCCGCCCCGCGGAGCGGAGCGACACGCTACCCGCTCGCAGGGCATAGCGCGTAGCCAGGGCCGCCGCCGCGACGCGGAATGCCAAAGTTCCCGATCGTGAATACCCGCCTCGGAGGGCAGGCGCAGAGGGGAGGAGGGCCGGAGCAGCAGCAGCAGCAGCAGCAGCAGCAGGTAATCTCAAAAGGGCCCCCAAAGCACGAGCCCTTTGTGGGCGGTGGCACGAGCCAGCGGCGACCGCGCCCCCGACCCCGGCAGGGGGCTTGCGCTTGCCGCCGCCGCCGCCTCAGATCGCTGACGATATTACGTTTGTCCCATCTGTCCTTGGCGTTGGGTCCTCTTTTTGGAGAGACTGCGCCCCACGTCCTCTCCTCTCCTCTCCTCTCCTCTCCTCTTCTCTCCTCCTCCCCCCCTCCCTCCTCCCATTCCTGCCTCTGCTCTCCGCGTGCCGCCATCACCATTAGCATCGTCATCAGAATCGCCAGCACACCCCTCACACGGCTCGTGCCCATATAGGGAGTTCCGCCGAAGGCCCCAGTGGCAGGGCCCGCATGCGCCCGACGCCCATGTTAGCGCACCCCTCACCCAGTTCGCGGCCTCATAGGGAGCTCCATCGAGGGCCCCAGTGGCAGGGTCCGCATGCGCCCGACGCGGCCGCGCACGGGGCTCAGGCCAAAGCAAGAAAACTCCCCGCTTGCCCGCGTCAGCTTTTCTCCCCCTCATCCACGCCGCAGTCCTGTTGCCAGCCCCCCGTCCTTCGTCTCACCTGCTTCGTGATGCTCGCAGCTGCAATTGTTCCAGTCTGGGCGCTTTCCTCGCACCTCCGCGCAAGGCAGGGAGCGGGAGGACGGGGAGGGGAGGGGGAGGACCACGAGTAGGCCCCACAGCATCCGCACCTCGATGTTCCGCCTCCTCCACCTCCCCTTAATTTTCTTTGTCCCGCAGCCTCCTTATCCACCTCCGGCCCCTCCGCCTCCCAGTCCCCATTCTCCTCCACGCGCGCGCGCCTTTCCGCAGCTGTCCTGGTCTCTCCATGTGAGCGCAGCCGGACTCCCGCTTCAGGGAGCTGGTGAGGGCAAGGCCGGCAGGCTTGGCGGCAACTTGCCTGTGGAGAGCTTCTGGCGCGCTCTTCCCCCCTACCGTGGGGGGCTGACGTAGGGAGAAGCGACTTTCTTGGCCGCACGAACTGTCCACGCTCCGCATCGGGAGCACTGTTCAGATTCTGATGAGGGGGGAGTGGCTGGGGTGAAACCTGGTTTGTGCTCTTCGGGACACATGAGGTCTTGAGCCGCCCGGAGGTTCCTTTAATTACACTGCCGAACGTACCACAGACACTGCAGGAGACTTGAAAAAGAGGGGGGGAGGGGGGGGGGGGCACAAGTGAGGCTAGGGGGCGTCCTAGCGAGCTCTGCCTGGAGGACTGCCACGCTCCAACCGACTGTAGCCTTCCTACGCATGTGCTTGCTCCCCGCACCCTCCGGCAAGCCTCGGGTGCCATTGTTTTCCCAGTAGTACACTTTGAAAGCTGCTGGCCGATCTCGAATACGATCGGCGAAAAGGTCGGTGCCTTCGATGTGTCGAACGAGCCAGTCGGGAACTCGGCGCCAATGGTCGGTTTCGGAGGTCAACTTACCGGCATGACCGGTGAGATATGAGGTCACGAGCGTCGTCGTCGTCGTCTGAGGGATGGCTTTGAACTTTGTAGAATATGATGCCCCGTCTCCGAACCGCGGCGAAGCTCCAGAACTTCTTCACGTCTGGGGGGTCCTGGAGTGACGGTACTGCGGGCCGGCCTCTCGCGAAGACTTTGATCACCCAGGCGCAATCTGTGATGATGAGGAGCTGGCCCTGGGCGGACTGGAGCAAGGCGATCATTGCCTCGAGCTCCGCCAGCGGGAGCGTCTCAGAGACCATGATGCCCCCCTGGATGGTCCCTTTCCAAGCGAGATCTTGTGTCCCCACGGAAGCGCTCCAGCCACAGACTCGAATGCGCGAGTCCTGCGTGTGAGTTCCCGCGGACTGCCTTGATTCAGACCGAGGACGTGGGTGTGCTTTTGACGAATCAGCGTGGCGGGAGTGATACCTCTGAGCCACAAGCCGGGGTCCAGCGCGCCGCAGCCCGCCACTGCAGAGCCGCCCCCCCCCCCGCTGCTGCCCCTCATGCCCGGGCTCCCGGGCCGCTGCGGCTGCGGGGGCCGACCGCTGCAGGAGCACGCCATGAGGAGGAGGAGTACGTCGGACCAATGAAAGTTCTTTGCAGCTTCGAGGAGCAAAACGAGGCGGAAGACAGCGGAAGGCCGTTGGAAGGCTTGCGGAAGACAGCGGGAGTAAATGACGCCTTGCCCGAGCCCCCCATACCCCCCGTAGAAGCCTAGCAATGTAGTCTTCTGCCGTGGGCCGGGCGGGATCCTGCCTAGCTTACTCCCCTATAGTATTAGAGTTTTAGTTCAGCCAGACTAAAATCCCACCCATTAAAAATGGGGTAAACAATTATCCCGGGTCGTCCACGGATCCCGCCATGCTGGGATCGTTTCAAACCAAGGTGGGGCTCCGAAGTTCCGAAGTTGCAGCATTCCTGGCATGTCACGGTCGTCTTGAGATCATATTGAGATCATATCTCGGTCATGCTTGGATCGCACAGCCGTCGTGGTCATTCTGGGGCCACCCTGGGCGCGTGTGGATCCATCTTGATGCCATCGGGCCATCTCGGCGTCACTCATGGTTCATGTGTTCGGTCATCTTCGAGTCGGCCTGGAACAGTCCACAATCCATGGCGGGATCGTGTTGGGGTGGCGTCACCGTCTGTAGCCTCAGGCCCTCTTGGAACCATTTTGCGGCTATGGGGGCGTCTTGGGATCTCGCGCGCGCGAGCGCGGAGCACGCGCGCGCGACAACTCATGTCGCCGGTGGGCGTGCACACATAAACTTCTTGCTTCGAGTTTCCAAGGGATTTTTTGTTGGGGCCAAGTAGGAGGAGAAGGAGGAGGAGGAGGAGGAGAAGGAAGAGGAGGAGGAGGAGGATCGAGGAGGAGGAGGAGGAGGAGGAGGAGGAGAAGGAGGAGGAGGAGGCGGCGGATCAAGAAGGGGGAGGAGGAGCAAGAGGAGGAGGAGGAGGAGGAGGAGGAGGAAGATGAGGATTAGGACTGAGGCGGAGGAGGAGGAGGAAGACCAAAAAGGGGGAGGAGGAGAAGAAAAAGGGAGGAGGAGGAGAAGGAGGAAAAGGAGGAGGAGGAGGAGGAGGAGGAGGACGAGACATCGCGGGGGGAGGACGAGACACATGAATGAGGAGGACCAGGGGGAGGAGAAGCAGGAACAGGAGGAGTTCTGGAACTCGCGGGGTCTTCACGAGGCACGGACGTCCAGAGAGCGCGCCATGGAGTGGAGGCTTGCGCCGCGGAGTCGGTCTGGGCTCTGCACTTACGTCTTGGCTTTTTTGTCGTCCCAATTGGGACCCCGATCAAGGCCCCCCACCCTGCCGCACACCCACACCTACGGAGTTGCGGCCAGCGACGGCGGCGGAGGTGGGGACGGAGGAGCGGCGCGCGGGGGAGGGCCCACTGGCGCCGCAAAGGTTCTGGACGAAGGCGGGGCTATCGCCTGAGCACGGGCTGGCGAGCTTCGGGAGGGTGATCGAGTTGGGAAAAGCTTTCGTGGACGTTACCAGAGGATGGAAGCTAGTTTGCCTCAGAAACCTTGCGACGCGCGTGGGAGTGTGGGGGTGGGGGGCGGCACGGCGACCACCTGGGATTGAGGCATCCTCCACGTGAAATCCGACGCGATGTTCAAGCTTGAGCTTCTGGGGTACCTGCGAAGAGTCGCGAGCCCGGCGGACCTGGTTGGCGAGCTCGAACCACCCTGGCTTCGAAGGGATCATGGAGTCGCCCCAGGGGAGGGCCCTCCATGATGTTGCCAGATGACAGTGTTGCGCCAGACGGGCGATCCATCAACAACATGTGGGACGCTAGTCGAGGGTGCGACAAAACGCAGCACCCCCCCGCGAAGTTGCTGGGGCACCAAGAAGTGGCGAGGCAAATGCTGTGGCGGAGGTACCGATGTCCGAAAATCCGGGCGCTGCTGGCCAAGCGGGACTTCGCCTCGGCGTTCAAGCTGCTCTGGGTGGAGACATCGGGGCTTTGGACCATGGCGGCGTCGGAGAAGCTGATCTAGGGCCTGCTCGCCCAGCTCGAGGATGAGAACGGGGAGCCCGCGGGCAGGGCCGCGCATCAGGAGGCGAAGACCCAGCCGAGCAAGGTTCCAGACGGCGCAGCAGATGAGAGGATCGGGGACCCATTTCGCGGCCACCAACTCGGCGCCGGGCACGGAGACGGGGTCGGTCGACCCCTTGTTGGCCCAGCCAGACGGGCCAAGTGAGCGGGCCAAGCCGAAGGGCACGGAGCCAGAGCGGGGGTTCGTCTGGCAGGAGTTCCGGGAGACACTGGACGCCCTCAGTGCCATGGCCGCCCGCCCAGAGGCCTGGAGTAGTACGTTCCTCTCGTCGCTAACGAGAGGGCTGGGGTCCCGGGACAGGTCGGCCGTTCCAGGTGCCATGGGGCGAGTGGTTTAGATTGGAGGCGACGCGACGCTCGCCATCGCAGGCCAGGCCAACTGGGGGGCCAAGTTGCACGCGCGCCAGGAGGCGGCCCCACACCTGGAGGCGCTCCAGGAAGTGGCCGACGCCAAGGAGGAGTGGGTCATCATTGCGCTGGCCGAGCTGTTCTGCGTCGCGGGCGTCGCGGCAGAGATGGGCAAGGAATAGAAGGAGCGCTCGG